ATTTTATCGACAGAGGTAGGTATTTTTACCTAATTCCGTGATATTATTTTTTCCCCGTTGGGACGGACCCGGGAACTCAGTTTTTTGAACCGAAAGTCCGGGTTCAAGACCCTACCAAGACCCGGATCCACTTACCTGATATAGGCAATATAGGCATCGTTGGAAAGCTTATGAAAATACCTATCCAAAAAGGATATGTATTACCAAAAATTGAAGCATTTTGAAAAGGTAAGAGTGTCTGCTATAATTTGGCATCATTTCTGTTGACTCCCATAATGGGCCCTTTTTCAACTTATTGGGGGTTTTATAAAAAATCCTAATCAAAAAAATCAATAATTTAACTTAAATTTCCGAACCGCTTCAAATAAACCCTCTAGAAAATAAAAAGTTTTCCGGAATCAGGGTAAAAATACATACCACTAGAAAAAAAAAAATAAAAAAAATAAAAAATTAAGATTTTTTACTAAAGCCAAATTTTGACTGATAAATACTAATATTTATTTGGGTTATTATTTTAGTCTAAAATGTTAATCCTAAAGCGTGTTGCCGAAGGGTTCTATATTCAAAATATTGTACAAAGTTCCCATTAAGCGCGATTGTAGCAAGTATTTTCTACAAAATTATTTGTCATACAAGTTCACTGTACGTCCCAGAAGACATTGAAAGTCTTAACAATACCCAAACGCAAGGAATTAATAAATTTTAAAAACAAACTGGTTAAAAAACATAATAATACCCTCCACCTTAGGGTAAAGGAAACATTAGAAGAAATGTGGCAAAATACATTAAAATGCCGAATATCGGGAGGTGCCGTTATATGGGGGCTATACAAAATCGTGGACCTACACATGCAATGTTACGCCGAAGGAGCTAGAACCCATTATGACCTAGAAATACCAATTTTCAGACAAAACCGTGAAAAAATTTGGCAAAAATAATCAAATTACCGAATATCGGGAGGTTCCATTATCTGGGTGCTATACCAAAACGTGGACCTATAATTTCAACGACTCGCCGCACGAACTGGGACCCATTATGATCTACAACTACCAATTTTCAGAGAAATTCGTGAAAAAATGTGTGAAAAATTATCAAAATACCGAATATTGGGAGTTACCCTTATGTGGACCTATACATACAATGTTTCGCCACACGAACTAGGACCCATTATGACCCACAAATACCAATTTTTAGACAAATCAGTGAAAAAATGTGGCAAAAACCATCAAAATACCTAATATCGAGAGGTACCTTTATATGGGGGCTATATCAAAACGTGGACTTATATATACAATGTTTTGCCACACGTACAGGGACCCGTTATGACCCACAAATACCAATTTTCAAACAAATCAGTAAAAAATGTGGCATAAATCATCAAAATACCAAATATCGGGAGGTACCGTTATATGGGGATTATACCAGAACGTGGACCGATATATCTCATTTTCAATACCAACCATCCTAGACACAATACAAATTGTTCTGCTAAATTTTGGCGCTCTACGTCAAATAATGTGTGCTGTATCGTGATTTCAACAGACAGACAGACGGACAGACAGTCGGACATCGTTAAATCGACTTAGAATTTTATGCTGATTATGAATATATATACTTTATGGTGTCTACGACGAATATTTAAGGATGTTACAAACGGAATGACAAAGTTAATATACCCTCCTTTCCAAGGTGGAGGGTATAAAAAGGGTTAAAACGTCAAAGACAAAAATATTCTTTGTTAAATTTCATTATAAGTCACCAAAAAAATGAAATATCTATTTCCATTAGGTGGCAAGAAAATATTAACATCAATGTTTGCAAAAAAACAAGTTAAAGAGAATCAGTCGGTTTAGCCGACAGATATATACCCTCAGCCAGTGATCGATTATTTAAACATACTTCGATTCCTGTAATGATCATTCAAATGGACTAGGTTCCGAAGGAATGGGCCAAAATTGTCCATTTCGTATCGGTCTATATTGGTTACGCCCTTTAATTTATATGAGAAAATATTAAAATGTACGTGAGGACCTAGGTCGTGAGATATAGTCGATCGAAGTATTCCATGTTCACACTAATACAGATATTGATATGGACAAAATTACAATAAAATCTAACATTTAGATCCAATTTTATGAAAAATTATAAAGTCCATATTCATCTCAGGTTTCTAGTTGAGAGAAATATTTAGATATGTAGCAAGTTGTAAGGAATCGCTGGCATGTTTCGCAAATTATAACAGACAAAAGTATCGATATATATATCATCTTCAGAACTGATCTTGTGTTTGTGTGTGTGAAATTTGAAGAGAGTTGAATGCTCATTCCGCCTTCTTTGGGCGTTTTGTTTTTAAAATCTTGAACCATTTGTGAGGGAGGTGCCAGAATAAATGGTCTGATCTCTACAATCTTTATAACAGATCTTGTGTTGATGGAAATATTGAGATGTACCAAGCCTAAATGGAATCGGATTTTAATTTGGCTTCAACTTCACACTATGCCTTTGTTTAATAAAACAAGTAAAAAGTATCGGTCGGATTTACCAACAGATGTATACCCTCAGCCAGTGATCGATTATTTTAAAATATTTTGACTTCTGTTATAAATTTTCAATCTCATGTCCATGTACTGGGTCTTGAAAGAATGGGTCAATTTTGTCCATTTCGTATCGGACCTAAATAAATATGATATGAATATTATTATAAATATATAAGAAAATCGAACATTTATATCCAATTTATGGGAAATCATAAATTCCATATTCATCTCAAGATTCTGGTGGAGAGACATATATTTAGATATAGCAAGTTGTAAAGAATAGTTCAGTTGTTTCGCAATTTATGACAGATAAAATTATTGAAAATTGTGTCCCTTTGTGGGGTTCCAGAAGGGGTTGGCAGATATATAATATCTTTACAACAGATCTTGTGTTAGAAAAATGTTTGTGTGTGTGAAATTTGAAGAGAGCTGGATGCTCATTCCGCTTTCTTTGATCGTTATGTTTGCAAAATCCTGAATCCTTTGTGGGGGAGGTACCAGAGCGAATTGTCCTATCTCTACCATCTTTATAACAGATCTTGTGTGGTTGGAAATATTGAGATGTACCAGGTATGGAATGAAATCGGATGTTGATTTCGCTTTTAATGAACTTCATGGATATTCAAAATTTCGACCTTTTGTGGGGAAGGTACCAGTAGGAGTGGGCCGATACATATCATCTTTGCACCAGACATTGGGTTAATAAAACTTTTGGGATGTGTGAAATTTGAAGACAACACATTTTATAAGAGATGTAATTATTCAAAATGTTGACCCTTTGTGGGGGAGATACCAGAAGGAGTGGACCGATATATTCCGTTTTATTTCCAGATCTTGGGCTCATAAAAGTAGTTGGATATGTGAAATTTGAAGACAATCGGACTCTTACATCACATTTTATAAGAGTTGTAATTTTTCAAAATTATATTCACCCATTGTGAGGGAAGTACTTGATGGAGTGGGCCGATATTGTCCATTTCTGCACCAGACCTAGCACTGATTAATATAAATATTGGGGTGTGTGAAATTTGAAGACAATCCGACTCTTACATCACATTTTATTAGAGTTGTAATAATTTACAATTTTGACCCTTTTTGGGGTATGTATTTAATGGAGTGGACCGACATTATCCATTTTTGCACCTGACCTAGAACTGACGCAAATATTAGGATTTGCAAAGCTGGAGCAAAATCGGATTATTGCTCATCTTTCTGTGCAAAAAATATTTTTTTAAAATTTCTACCTTTTGTGGGGTATGTACCAGAAGGAGTGGGCCGATATATTACATCCTAACACCAGACCTTGGGATTAGAAAAATATTGTGATGTGTGAAATTTGAAGACAATCGAATTCTTACATCACATGTCATAAGAGTTGTAATTATTTAAAATTTTGACCGTTTGTGGGGAGGTACTTGATGGCGTGGACCGATATTTTCCATTTCGCAACTGACGTAGCACTGACGCTAATATTAGGATTTGCAAAGTTGGAGCAAAAACGGATTATTGCTTCTTTTTCTGTGCAAAAAAATATTTTTTGAAAATTTCGACCTATGGTGGGGTATGTACCCGAAGGAGTGGACTGATATTGCCCATCTCCGAACGCGATCTAAGTTTGACAAAAATATTACGATTCACCAAGTTTGGACAAATACTGGATACTTCCTTCGAGAGTTATCGTGCGCACCAGCCAGCCAGGCAGGCGGACGGACGGACATCGCTAGATCAACTCCAAATGTCCTGAAATGGATTTGGCCCAAAGAGAACTAGGGTCTAAACCCGTTATTTCGACTAGGCACGTTTTAAACCTCTCTAGCCATATGACAGAGGGTATAATGATGTTTAAATAAACTCATACAAAATACGTCTTTAACCCTAAAATTCTGAATGTGTGGTTTAAGATACATTTACACTTTTGATAGATTCTGGAACCTGTTGTAGAATTTTATGACAAATAATTTTGTAGAATATTTTGACTTATTACGAACCCGTTTATCTTTAAAAAAAGGGCAAAAAAATTTTTTTTTGACCCGTATGGGGATTAAAACGCTTAGAATCAACGGATTCCTAGGAAACGTAATTCCAAAATTTCTAAAAAAGAACTTTCCGGCTCTCTCCGGTTGGTACATGGTGTTAGACAAAAATCTAACACCATGTACCAACGTATATATATTGGCTGTAAAAAACCTAAGGCATGTAAAAAACCTAAGGCATAAACTTTCACCTCTACTACTATAATTCCCAACACACATGTACGCTGATATTTACATATGTATTCCCTCATTCATTCATTCATCCATACAAAACTAAATACGCCAGCGAACATGCATAAACATATTGTAAAAGTTTGAAAGAGGACAAGCACAAAAAACAGCAGAACAGAAGGACGCATTGTTTTTGTTACACATCCTCAAGCTGGCTGGCTGTTTGGCATTTGGCGCTCTCAGTTCACGTAGCGAACGGCGCGTCAGTAGCAAAAAAGTCACGGTAGGATATTGTCACTGGTCGTTGTTTTTTCCTGCGTGCGTTCGTGAGAGTGGGTGGCCTTAGCAAAAAGTGTCTATCGACAAAACTAGAAAAAGAGGTCTACATTGAAAAAGCTACGAAAATTGAAAAAAGTTTTCAAAATTTTTTTGCAAACATTTGGTGTTTTTTAAGTGCATTATTTTTAGTGCAAAAATCAATTTATAAAAATAGTTTGGCTTTTGCCAACAAACAATAAAAAAAAAAGAAAAAAAACGCCGGTAGAATATGGGAAATAAAGTTGTTACATTTACCGAACAGCAATTGGATGATTATCAGGTATGGTGCGTGCGTGTGTGTGTGATTGGCCAATCCGACAAAAGTTTGGATTTTATTTCCAACAATTGTCCAGATAAATTAACACAAATAAATTTCAAGTGGTTTTTGTGTTATTTTTTTGTTTTTTTTTTTTTTTTTTTTTTGCAATTGGTACTGTTTTATCGAAAAGTCCTAAAGCTAAATGTCAGCGATTTTTTGGTTAAAAACCAACTATCAACGATTAAATTGATAAGAAAAAAATGAATATAAACAAAAAATTACAACAGGAAGCCCAAAACAATAGCGGAAATAGGAAATTTAAAAAAGTGTATATAAAAATATTTAATTCACGTTTGCAATTTAATAAATAAATTTGCTATTTGTGACATAGCAAAAAAAAAAAAAAACAAGGCAAAATTATATGACTTATGGTAGACCTAAATATATTCTCCGGCTTGTAACCTGGAAATATCCTTTTAGACCACATAATATATACATATGAAATTCTTTGATAACTAAGCCATGTCCGACCTTCTGTGGAAATCACTTTGGCTTGCAAACGAAATGAAGCAGATTGATAAAACATTACCAAGATGTAAAGGGCCACATAAGTCCAAGTTTAGGTATAGTCGTCATATAAGTATACCACCGGATGTTCAGCGTTTTAATGATCCTAGCAACATTGTCCAACGGAATATGGAGTTGTCACCAGAAAATTAGCAAGACAGGTTCACATTTCCCTATAACCCCCATATAACTGTACCCTACAGTACTCGGTATTTTGAGGATTTATGTCACATCTTTCGACAGAATTATTTCAAAATTGCTATTTGAAGTTCGTAATGGGTACTATGTCTTATAATAGAACATTGCATATTCATATTCATATTGCATATTCATATTGCATTTCGTTATTCGGTATTTTGCTGCTTTAGCCACATTTTTTTACGGAATTATCTCAGAATTGGAATATACGTGTTTCGGCGTTTTTAAGCTTTACGTCGGAAAGTTATCTTAATATAGCGGACAAGAATCCGCCATCTTTAACATTTTTCGAAATTTTCCCGTAAGATTCCTCGGAATCCCTGCAGTTTGGCTATATATTGTGAGTGTCTTCTACAAATTATTGATAACAATCCTAGGATTATTGAGGTCGAAAATATTAATTCATGTGATTTTATGTATTCAAGTAATTCCGCTGATAAGCAAATCGAAAAATCCTGCATAAATGTTGAAGAAATCCCAAAAATATGTTCGATTTTTTCAATTATTCCTCGTCCTTTTTTCCTGGAAAATATCGCCAAGATATTTGAATAACTAAGCTCAGGGGGTATTTTTATACCCTCAGCCATATGACTAGAGAGGGAATATATCATTTGATACGGGCAAAACGTGCCTCATTGAAATAACGGTTTTCTCTTTGGACCAAATCCATTTCAGAACATTTGGAGTCGATCTAGCGATGTCCGTCCGTCCATCTATATGACTGGCTGGATGTCTGGCTGGCAGGTGCGCACGATAACTCTTGAAGGGAGTATCTGATTTGGTCCAAACTTGGTACATTGTTATATTTTTATCAAACTTATATCGAGTTCAGAGATGGGCAATATCGGCCCACTCCTTCTAGTACCTCCCTCACGAAATGTCGAAATTTTCAAAGAAAATATTTTTTTGAACAGAAAGAGAACCGATAATCCGATTTTGCTCCAGCTTTGCAAATCCTAATATTTCAATCAGTGCTAATTCTGGTGCGAAAATGGACAATATCGGTCCACTCCTTCTGGTACCCCCCAAAATTTTGAATAATTATAACTCTTATAAAATGTGATGTGATATTTTCCGCACAGAAAGAGAAACGATAATCCGATTTAGCTCCAACTTTGAAAATCCTAATATTTGCGTCAGTGCTAGGTCAGGTGTGAAAATGGACAATATCGATCCACCCCATCAAGTACCTCCCCCACAAATGGTAAAAATTTTGAATAATTACAACTCACATAAAATGTGATGTAAGACTCCGATTGTCTTCAAATTTCACACACCCCAATATTTATATTAACCCAAGGTCGGGTGTGAAGATGAACAATATCGGTCCACTCCTTCTGGTACCTCCCCCACAAAAGGTCGAAATGTTCAAAAAATATATTATTTGCACAGAAAGAGAAAGGATAATCCGATTCTGCTCCAACTTTGCATGTCCTAAAATTTGCGTCAGTACTAGGTCAGGTGTAAAAATGGACAATATCGATCCACCCCATCAAGTACCTCCCCCACAAATGGTAAAAATTTTGAATAATTACAACTCACATAAAATGTGATGTAAGACTCCGATTGTCTTCAAATTTCACACACCCCAATATTTATATTAACCCAAGGTCGGGTGTGAAGATGAACAATATCGGTCCACTCCTTCTGGTACCTCCCCCACAAAAGGTCGAAATGTTCAAAAAATATATTATTTGCACAGAAAGAGAAAGGATAATCCGATTCTGCTCCAACTTTGCATGTCCTAAAATTTGCGTCAGTACTAGGTCAGGTGTAAAAATGGACAATATCGGTCTACTCCATCAAGTACCTGCCCCACAAACGGTCAAAATTTTGAATAATTACAATCTCATTAAATGTGATGTAAAATTCCGATTGTCTTCAAATTTCAAACATCCTAATATTTGTATTAACCCTTGGTCTGGTGTGAAGGGGGAATACATTGGTCCACTCCTTCCGGTACCTCCCCCACTAAATATTGAAATTTTGAGTACCCATGAAGCTCATAAAACGCCAAATTAACATCCGATTCCATTTAGACTTGGCGCATCTGTCGCAAGATTCATATCATATGTTTGAGTCCGATAGGAAATGGGCAATATTGGCCCATTCCTTCGGGACCTGCTCCATAGAGGGTCAAACGTTTGAATAATCTTAACACTAGTCAAAATATATTTAAATAATCGAACATAGGCTGAGGGTATATATCTGGCGGCAATACCGACTGATACTTTTTAACTTGTTTTCAAAGTTATTTGATAACATTTTTTTAGAAACCTTTTAGACAAGTATGTGGTTATTAATAAATTCGACATTGCAATGATATCAAAAGCCAATTTTAAAATCCATTTTTATGGAGATGTCTGTCTACTTTTAGTTTTTCAAAATCTACGGATATTAAACTAAAAATTTTTTTTTGATTTGTTGCTAAAAAATTTTGAAAATATGTTAAAACATCTCAAATAGGCTGCGTTCTTAAATTGTTTTTTTTTTAATCGCCATCTTACGTTAAGCATCACCAAAACATAATCAATTTTTTCTTCTTTCCTTTTTTATATATTTCCTTCATTTCGGGCAAATTTATTTAATGGCACACCACCATCACCACAACACTACCTCTGCATGGGCCATTTAATGCAATTTCATTGTGTGCCATGCCATGGGATGTTAATCATCTGCAATATTGTTACATGCCGTCCGAAAAAAAAAAACAACAACAACAATCCCAATGGAAAATACCTCATCTTGGCGATGACCACAAAGGATTGTACATTTTTCACACGCAAAGAGATATTACGGTAAGTACCGGACGGAGGTTTTTGTTTACAGGATTCTTCATCGTTGTGGTTATAAGCCGGTTATGGCCAGTTGGGATAATAAAGTTGAGCAGCAGGCAGCAGCAGCAGCAGCACCAGTGAAAGAGCACAACACCACACATTGTCGAGTCAGAGCATAATCAAGCTATACATAAACATTTTGGGAGATTTCTTTCTTTTCTGCCTTTGGAAACAGCAATTTATTGCATTTTTGGTAATGACACGCAAAATGTTTTTCAAGTTGTTCGGGGTTTTTTGTTGTTGTTGGTTGCAAAGGAAACCATAAACACAACATTATGCTGCAAGGAAGGAAGGATGAAAGGCCGGAGGGAAGGAACGCCGGGATGAAGGTAAAACCTGTCGTGACTATTCGAGTATTTAATAATTTGCGAAACTCTTTTGTTGGGGTCTAACCAAATGGCCAACACAAAAATGGGCAACCACAACATCGACGCCCCTTGGCCACAACCCACCATTGTCGCCACCATCATCGCCATTGTTGCTTTAATAGTCTGTCTCAGACTCTATTGAAAAGTTCTTTGCATTTGTTTAGAAACCATTTTAACGACCTTTTCCCCTCCATCTCAACCTCCAGTGTCCACAAACGATTTCGTGAATTACGACCAGATTTGGTGCCCCGCCAAATGACCGAGGGCCAGGCGTCAAGTGTCAAGGTGCCCCGCGAATGTATTGAGAAGATGCCCGAGCTAAAAGAGAATCCATTTCGCCGACGCATATGTGAGGCTTTTTCCCGTGATGGCCAGGGTAATCTATCGTTTGAGGATTTTCTGGATGCATTTTCTGTGTTTAGCGAACAGGCACCCAGGGATATCAAAGTGTTTTATGCTTTCAAAATATATGGTAAGTATAAAAAAAATTCTGGAATTTTTTTTAAAAATAGTTTGTTTTCAGATTTTTTTTTTTTTTTTTTGAGTAGAGTATTTTAGAGCGAGTTTAAGTAAGGCCTGTAGGAAATTTGGCTTGTAGACATTCACGTAGGAAATCTACCTTGTATGACTTTCTATCTGGAGATAATTGACAAAATTGAAAAACTTGAAGAAGTCCCAGGATAAAAAGCTCAGGGTCATAACTATAGAATAACAATATCGTTATATGGGGCTAACCCGAAGCCGAGAACCTAATTTTCAAATCTTAGAATTCAAGTATCTCAACACCATCTCAAGAGGGAGTTGTTATATGGGACTTCAATGTAACGATTAATGAAATCGTCCCCAAGAGGGAGCCGTTGTGGATGACTAAAAGGTATAATTTTTAAAAAACGAACTCAGGGGTCTTTTTCTTCAAAATTGCTAATCAAACGTTATATGGAGACATACACAAGAGACACAGGATAGCCTAATGCCCAAAGCTTTTCAGGTAGGACCTATGGAAGGAGTGTGTAAAAACCTCAAAACAAGCAAAAAACCTTTCTTTAATGACTTCAAGAGGGAGTTCTTGTAGACCGACATTAAAAGGAATCATTGGCGACATGTGGAGGAGTCTTAAAATATGTTTTAAGAGGGAGTATTTATATAACAAACTCAAAAGGTCTTCTCTAAACAGATTATCTCGAAAGCGAGGCTAGAGCGAGATATAGGAGATAGTTTATATATTTCACTTCAAGAGGGGGACGATATCAAGTTAGGGATATTATAGATTAACTCCAGTGGAAGTTTTCATGGTCGACTACAAGAGGAAATCTTTATAGACAAGATCTAGAGGGAGTCCTTAGAGGTTATCATTTTCAAGAATGCCTTAGAGGTAGAACTAAGAGGATTTCATAGCGAATTTAATTTTCGAACTCATATAGAGGCACTTTTGGAGGGGGATATTCTTTAAGGGAAGTTTTTAAACAGACGTCTTAAAAAGGACATTGTCACACCTGACGCTATTTTGAAAGACAACAAGCGACATTAAAAAGGAGTTATAAAAAATAATTGCAGAAGGAGGGTTCAGTCATGAAGGACAAGAAGATTACAATAGGAGAGCGTCCTTATACATTATCTTAATAGGAAGTTGAACACGAACCCTGAAAGTGTTCTATGCTGACGACCAAAAGGGGGTATTTTATTGTGATTTTTTGTTGTCAATCTCTGGAAGGACCAATTTTTAAAAATATCGAGATAAGTGTTTCAAATATTAAACAAATAAAAAAGTTCTGCCGGGCCGAACTCTTAATGCCCTTCATCATTGGGTAAAGAAAACATTTTAAAAGTATCTGAATTCCACCTTAAACTACAAATACCAATAAGGCTGTTCGGATAATGCTGTGATCTGGCAAAAATCATCAAAATACTGAATATCGGGAGGTACCGTTATATGGGACCTATACAAAAACGTGGACTTATGCATATAATGATTCGCCACCGGAACTAGAATCCATTATGACCCACAAATGGCAATTTTTGGACAAAACCGTGGAAAAATCTGGCAAAAATCTTCCAAATTCCGAATATCGAGAGGTACCGTTATATGGCGGCTATACTAAAACGTAGACCGATATATCTAATTTTCAGTAACAACCATCCTAGACACAAAACAAATTGTTTTACCAAATTTTTAAGCTCTATGTCAATTAATGTGGTTTGTACCGTATAACTTTATGATCAGCATATCAGGATCTACGACGAATATTTAGAGATGTTACAAACGGAATTAAAATGTTAATATACCCTCCGTTTCTAGGTGGAGTGTATAAAAAGAAAGTTATCATACTCTTCATAAGGGGTTACCCTATAGTTCTTTATAGTAGTTCAGCAACTGCATTTATTACCTACTATTTTCAAATTTCTATAGATAATTACGTTATTTTTTATAGCAAATTTTATACAATAAAGCGGTAAATCTCTTCCTTTTCTTATCGATAAATGTGGTGCGTGTCTATACTAAAAACAATATAAGTCAAATTGAACTCCATAGCATAGACAACACTAGATTTTTTATAATATTTTTAAGGGTGGCGGTTAAAATTCCAATTGGATTCTTATTGTGCCGGGTTGCTGCCTTTACTAAATGTAAAGTATGCCAATCGTTTGGCATGTTCCAGAACCTAGAGGAATGTTAAAATGAGCAAAGACATATAATATAATGAGATTGAACATTCTATTGTTGTCTTGATTCAATAGATGGCGTTAGTAAAGGACAAAATATGTCACAAACTCTGCTATTATCTATCAGACGTTGTATGACGTTTTTATAGGGATATTTAATGAGCCAATGTAGAGGGAAATGCTCTGGAATAGATTTTTAAATCCACATCTCTTCTGATGATTTTTTTGCATGTTACCGCCATTTTGGAAATTTTGAAATAATATATTTCTATAGCATTTCTAATTCCATTTTTGTCATATAGAAAAAAATTAAAAATAGAAAGAATTAAATTAATTTAAAATAGTTTCAATTTTTCCGATTTTTTCTGATATCGAAAGAAGTTGCAAAATTAGTACTTTCTTGCAGGTAATGAAACAGAAATCTTATTCGATTTTCCATCATATGAGAAGAACAAACTCAAAAATAATTAATAATAATTAAAAAAGTACTTTTGTGTTTATTTCTCCCAAGTCTTTCCCTGCCAATCTTATTTTCCCCGAAATTTCCATCACAAATGCCACTCAAAGAATTTCACATTGAGTGGTCGTTGCAGAAAATCGATATTTTCCCCATATTAATTTCATAAGAAACAATTATAAATAAGAAATGGAGTACAAAAAAGGATTAAATGAAGCATCAAATTAACAAAAGATGTTCGTTAGTGCTACGAAGAACAAAAAGCAGAAGACGAAGAGCAGGAAGGAAATAACCCTCAATGCCCAGGAGTGTCTGCGTCTGTTTAACAACAACAAGTACAATGGGAGTTGAATACCTTTTCTTTTTGTAAAATTACAAGTGGCTTTTCGGGGGAGATTTACACATGCAGCAACATAACAAATTGTCAGGAGCTTGATTGTATTATGAAGAAATCTTTACATTACCATGCTCGCACACACACACCGGTACAGACAAGCTGCTTTGTTTCTTTTGTAAATATCTGCAGGATATGAATATTGAAATGTGTTAATTTACTTGTAGTGTTGCTGGGTCCGGGGGCGAGGCAAATAAATATTGGACTGAATTGGAATATTAAAATTTTTTTTGGAGATTTAATAATGCCTTTGAAAAATATTAGACGGTCAAATATTAAGCCGTTAGGAAATTAGAATAAGACTTGAATAAGACTACAGACAAGCAGTCGAAGGTCTGCTATCTAAATGAGACCTTCTAAAGGTCTTAAGTCTATAGAGGACCTGTGGAAAATATTCAGACATCAGAGGAAAGTCATCAGGCAACAGAAACCTGCTGAAGACTTTTTTAAGCAAACAAGGCTATATAGGACATTTTTAAAGTGTATTGACTATAGAAGACTAGACTGGTGAAGGTCTCTGTTTATGGAAAATCAGATAAAGGTCTTATATTCATAGGTCTGTTTTTGTGCCCACAGAAGACCTGTAAAGATCTCCTTACAGACTTCTGGAAGTGAGACACCGGTTGGATTTCTTCGTTAGACAAAAATGACCCTAGAATTATATATGTATTCTAGCATAACTGCTTCAGAACTTATTAACGTCTCTTGCCATAGAGTCCTTTCCATATCCCTGTTGAGTACTTATTAAGGTATCTTATTGTAAATAAATAAAATCCATTGTATAACTCCTATTGTAGAAACTCTTACGGATCAAGAAAAACATATTGTTTCAGTTATTACAAGTAAAAAAATCAGCTAAGTTCGGCCGGTCCGAACTTTAAAAACCCTCCACCATTTTAAAGGTATTAAAAAAACTCCGTAGAAAAATACATCTCAAATAAAACACCTTTAATGTCGGCTATGAGAAGACGTAGATCTTTATAGTTGAAGGGTCTACCTATAGAAAATCTGATGAAGGTCTTCTATAGAGAGATGGCGTGTTGGAGGTCCTCTATCCATGTAAGAGGACCAGTAAAAGGTCTTCTGTCTATAAAAATCCTATGGGAGGTTGTCAGTTTGAGTTCTTCAGGCTATATAAGACCTGTAAAGACCTCATAGTTTTTTTTTTGCCCATAGAAGACTGAACTGATCTCCTATCTTCAAAAGACTTCTAGAAGTGAAAGTCCTGCAGGATTTCTTAGTTCGACAAAAATCATTCTAGAATCCTATCTGTATATTGGCATCATTGCTTCAGTATTTATCAGGGTCCTTTGGAATAGAGTCCTTCCATATTCCTGCTGAAGTGATTATTATTCCACATTATTCCACATACTGTCTAAGGCCATTGGTAGAATCCTTTTTGTAACTTTTGTTGTAGAATCTTTCCGGGATCAAGAAAAAAAGTAATATTTCACTTGTAACAAGTAAAAAAGAGACTAAGTTCGGCCGGGCCAAACATTTAATACCCTCCACCATTTTGAAGGAGCTTGAATAATGCCTTTAAAATCATCGAATAATGCCTTTAAAATCATCAAAATACCGAATATCGACAGGTATCATTACATGGAGGCTATACGGAGACCTGGACCTGCACAAGTAATTTTCAGTCATAGGCTGTAGTACCAATTACGAATTTAAACTTTAATCAATTCCGGTGTATAATTTTCCTAAAATCATCAAAATACGGAATATCGGGAGGTACCGTTATATGGGAACTATACGAAGACGGGGACCTGCATAAGCAATTTTCAGTCACAGGCTGTAGTACCCATTACGAATTTTAGATACGAAAGTTAAAACAATTCCGGTGAATAGTGCCGATAAAATCATCAAAATACTGAATTTCGGGAGGTACCGTTAAATGGGGGATATGCGAAGACATGGACCTGCATACGAGATTTTTTGTCATAGGCTGTAGTACCCATTACGAGCTTTAAGTACAAATTTGGAAACAACTCCGGCGAAAAATGCCGCTAAAATCACCAAAATACCGAATATAGGGACCTCCCTACGAAGACGTAGACCTGCACAGGCAATTTGCAGTCATAGGCTGTAATACCCATTACGAATTTTAAATTCAAAGTTTAAATCAATTCCGGTGAATAATTTCGCTAAATTTATCAAATTACCGAATATAGGGAAGTACTGATATATGAGGCCTATACGAAGACCTGGGCCTGCATAGACAATTTTCTGTTATAGACTGTATTTCCCATTGCGAACTCTGAATACAAGTCCGGTGAGTAATGTCTCTAAAATCGTCAAAATACCGAATATCGGGGGGTACCGTTGTATGTTGGCTATGCGATTTCTTGGACCTATATAGACATTCCAATTGCAGGGTGTAAAGGGCTTAGAAAGAACTTCTAATACGGATTTTTAGGCAATGGCATTAAAAATTTTAGCTAAAATCATGAAAATACCGAACTTAGAGAGGTACCTTTATATGAGGGATGGATAAACGATATCGTGAACCTATATAGACAATACTCTTCCAGAGGGTAAAGTACTCAGAAGAACCTTAAAATACGACATTTTAATCAATTCCGGTGAAAAAGCTCGCTAAAATTATCAAAATACCGAATATCGAGAGGTATCACAATAGGGGGGTTATAGGAAAAGGGGACCTGCATTGTCATAGGCAATAGCATCCATCTATGATCTTCAAAAATCGAAAAAAATTTTTTTAGTTATAAACGGTATGACTAAGTTAATATACCCTCTATAGCATGGTGGAGGGCTATAGAAAATACTCACCATCAGGATTTTAAAAATGGAATCGAAAACTTTTTCCCTTTTTTTATGTTTCATTTCATTACACCCTTTTACACACACTTATAAGATATACATGCGAATCTTAATCACCTCATAAGCTTCTCTGTCTTTACCCTTGGAATCCCATCTCATTCTTTGTATATTTCTTTTTTCCATTTGAACAGATTTCGATCAGGATGGTTTCATTGGACGTGCTGACCTTCTGTGCAGTTTAACCACAATGACCAAAAACGAATTAAGCCCTGAGGAACATCAACAAATTGCCGATAAGGTTTTGGAGGAGGCCGATGTCGATGGTGATGGCAAATTGTCATTTCTCGAATTCGAACATGTCATCTTACGTGCACCCGATTTCCTTTCAACATTTCACATAAGAATTTAATTGTTGAGTGTGTGGATGGGTGGGTGTGGGGGTGTGTGTGGCCTTAAAGTTGGCTAACCAGATAGGGCTAGCAACAACTCCATCTGCAGTAGATGCATCATTGAATGACGAAGAATTCTTGCATTGCAGAAGGATATGAAAGAATGTCAACCCACATACCACACTCATAAAAATCTACATATACATGTATACACAGATACAAATACAAATAAAATCAAATAGAGTTCTTAATCTGCAATCAATAAATTCAGTGCAAGAATGTTTTCTGTTTTTTTATTTTTGCATATTATTTATGGTGTTTTTGTTGTTGTTGATTTCTTTCTTTTCATTATTTGTTACAATATCACATAGTTTTCTCCAAAGGACACAAAAGTTATTTAAAAAGTAGGAGGTTTGTATTTTGTTGTTAGAAAAAATGCAAAAATAACAACAATAAGAAAAAAATACGACAACATTGGAATGCATTCTAATGTGTGTAGTTCTCGTTTGGTGGTATGTGTGAATGTAATAGAGAGGGTAAGTAGATCCAAACCCATTAAAATTGCTTTGACACTTTAAAGGGATTCGATATAGGATTCGATTCAGATAACTACGTGGGTTACATCATTAAGTTATTCTGGATATATTTCATATTTTCCGTTCTTAAACCCCTTTTTACGAAAAGACCACATTTTCATAGCCTTTTGCAGATAGCAGTTTTTTATAAGACAGATAATCCTCCCTAAGTCAGTAGATGGAAGACCTATTAAAGATTTTCCATATTTGAAAAAAAAAAAAACATAATTTTATAGATTTTTTTTGGGTCTTTCGCAGATTTTTTTAAAAAGGATCCCTCATTGGTTTTTTGAAAATGTATCCTTATTATAGGAAGGGAAAGAGGTCGTCCGCAGATGCAAAGACTTATAAAAGTCTATAATGGGTAGAAAACTTTCTGTAGATTTTTCACTAAAAGAAGACTTTTTGTTGGCCTCCATGGACAGAAGATCTTCCAGGCGATTTTTCAAGCCTACCAGCAATAGAAGAACTTTTGCAATTCATCCTTACATAGAAGGCCTTATGAAAGTCTGTCCTAGTTACAAACTTATATGTAAATTATATGTTCATAGAGGACTCTTTGCAGGCCTATCATAGAGAGCGGTTTCTGTGGGTCTCTCATTGACAAAATAACTTTTGTAGAGAACCTTCAGTTTTACTCACATTACACAGTTGATGTATATTCTTCATATACCGAACATATATTTTGTAGGTCTTTTAAAGAATAATTAAGATTATTCCGCAGAATATGATCCTTCGCACCATCAGCAGGCTTCACAAGGACCTCATTCAAGTCTTCCAAAGACCAATCAAACCAATTAACTGTTTCCCTCCGAAGTTTCCCCCAGAATGGGTGGTACATTTACAAATTGTCTCAAATAATTTTATCTGATAAAAACTGTGGTTGTGACATATGTAGATTCTTCATATATCGGGTATATTTTATAGTTTTTTTTTTAAGAATAATTCAGATCCTTCCACAGGTCTTTCCTAAAGACCTTCTGCAGGTCTTCCAAAGACCAATCGGGTCATCTAGTAGCGGGTTTCCTTCGAATTTTCCCTCAGAAGATCTGGAGTATTTAAAAATTGTAACTAATAGAGCGAATGTTTAAACCCCTTAGGGTCCAAAGCGACCTTAACCTATTTTCAAAATTTTAATTGGGTAAAGACCACAAATTTCTTGGTATGAAGCTGTGGTTGGGCCTCTGCAGATCTTCAGAGGATAGAAGATCTTCTACATGACTTCCATTGATGGAAGACCCTTTTGTAGGTCTTCCGAAGAAAATGGTCCTTCAGTAGGGTTTCTACATTAAAAGCCGCATATAATTCTTAACGCACTATTTCCATGAATAAAAGACGTTCACTAGGTCTTCTGTCGGTCTTCATATACCGCTTATATTTTATAGGTTTTTTAAAGAAGGATTCAAATCCTTCCACTGGTCTTTTATAATTAACACCTTCAGCAGCTTTCCTGAAGACTTTTTCAGGTCTTCCAAAGACCAATCGAATCATCTAGTAGCGGGTTTCCTCCGAATTTCCCCTCAGAAGATCTGATATATTTATAAATTGTATCTGATAAAGCGACTGTTTAATCCCTTTAGGGTCGAAACGACCTTAACCTATTCTGAAATTTTAATTGGGGGAAAGGCCACAACGCTTTTTTAAAGACGAAACCCTTCCGAATGTCTTCTATAGGAGGCGGAAACAGAAGACTTCAAGCAGGTCGTCTGCCGACAATCACTTCTTATCGGCCATGTCTAAATGAGCGATAGAAGGTAGTCTCCTGTAGCTTTTCCATAGAAAGAACACAGAAACTTCGAAATTGAATTAAATTCATCAATTCTCTTCCATAGATAGCAGAGTCACAGGTAGAGGACGTTCCATACATATAAGATTATCCGTATGTTTTCTGCATGGGGAGGCAGATCTGCAAGGGGTATCATAGATCCAATCCACTCTATGTCATCCATTGACCTTCTGTAGGTCTCCCATATAGAATAGAATACCCGCTAGGCATCCACCATAATTATAAGTCCTTCAATGAATTTTCCAATAATGGAAGATGACTTCCACAGATAGAGGAGATTCTACAAATTGGTCATTGATAAAATGCTTTCTGAGGGTCTTCTGTTAATAAAACGCCTTCTGTAGGTTCTTCTTAAACACTAGACCTTCTACACGTCATCGAAAACTGAATGATGTCATTTAAATCTTCTACTGTTTAAAAAATCACCTGCTGGACTTCCACTGATAGATCTTCTTTTTATGTCCTCCAAATAAAGAGTAAAGTGTTCTATAGTTCTTTAAAGTTCCCGGCGTGCCTTTTACAGATAGAAGAACTTTTATAGATCTGCCTTTGATATCAGGCCCTCTAAAAATAAAATAACAATGACCTTCTGTAGACCTCCACAAAATAACAAACCTTCAACAGGACTTCCATAGATACTATACGCTATAGATTTATGTAGGCTATTCAGTGACCAGATCCCTTCTTTCTTTGAGAGAAGATTTTTCTATAGAGTCGTTGTAGATAGAAGATATTCCATGGGAGAAACCCTTTTCGATGTCTATCGTAGAAGAAAGAGAACTTCCAAACACAGAACACCTTCTGCTGATATTGTATTGAGAGCACAATTTTGCAGGTCCTCTATAATGGAACGATGTAGATAGGTCTCCCATAGTAAAAAGCCCTTCTGTACGTCTTCCGTAGAAAGAATACCTTTCATAGAAGACCTCCAAAGAAGACTTCCAAAAATAGGACAACGTCGATAGGCCTTCTATGGATAGAATAGTTCCTGTAGGATCTTAGTGGGCACTTTAGACCTGTCATGCTTAAAAAATAACATTGAAGACAATTTTCAGGTCTATTATGAATATGAAACCTACCTCGTTTTTCCTAACGCAAAAGACCTTTCGTATGATTTCTAAAATTTGAATATCTTCTTCAGGCAATTAGAAGATTTCTGTAGAATTTCCATTTTTAGAGGACTTTCTGTAAGTCTTCCCCAGATAGAGAAGATTTTATAAATCTGCCACTGATGGGTCTTCTGTGGGTCTTTTATAAATAAAATACCTTTCGCAGGCTATCTAAATATAAAAGTCTTAGATCTAGGCAGATCTTCAAAAGATAGAAACTTTTCTACATGAATTCCATTCATAGAAGGCCATTTTGTAGGTTTTGTTAGTTTGTATAGAAAAAACCCGCCTATAATTCTGAAAATTCATCTTCCATAAATAAAAGACTTTCACTGGGTCTTCTGTCGGTGTATAGGTCATCCACGAATTAAACCATAGGACCATAGTTTCACTGCCTACTCGAATTGGATAGTATTCAAAAATATTGACTTATATTAACCCCATTTTATAGTATATAAATATATAAAATATTTTGCAATTACTTTCCTATTTTTTTTTTTTTTCTAATAATCCAATACATTGACCCGCCTTAATATCCACACAGACCAATGGTCAACGGCGAAGGCTTGACTACAATTTAAATGAATTCATTCGTAAAGCTGATATGAATTTGTCAAGGGGCAAGCCGACACAGAAAAATAAATATAAATAAATATCTATCTATATCTCTATATATAAAAATCTATTGGGTGTTTGTTGTTGTTGTTGTTTTGTTATTTCTATACACATTCACTCAAATGAAAATTCCAATATGCGTTTTTTATTCATTTCTTGCAATGATTTCAAACCCAATGCTGCTTCGAATGATGATGATGATGACCTTTGGGAATGTTTGAAATAAAATATCTAAATTCTTCTACTGCATTTGATGTTTTAGATCAAAAATCGACAACAAAAAAAGAAACAAATATTCACAAAAGCATTTTGGCTTTCATTGCAAGCAAATGATAGAAAAGTAAAATATAAAAAAATTAAAGAATTAGAAAGAATAAATTGAGATTGCTATTTTACGAAAAAATGTCTATGTAGCATTGAAATATTAATTTATGGGGTTATAAATAAATAATTTAATGAATAAATAGAAAATAAATAAGTAAATAGACAAATATTTAAGTAATAAGTAAAACAATAAATTGAAAAACAAGTAAATAAACATATAATTAAGTAAGTATAAATAAGTGGATAAAGAAAACACTTAAATAAAATAAACAAATAAATAAATAAGAAATTAAATATTTGAAAAACAAATAAAAAATTAAAAAGTACCAGTCAGTTTTGCCGACAGATGTGTACCCTCAGCCAATGTTCGATTATTTAAATATATTTCGACGTCTGTTATGATTATTCAAATGTTTGAATTTTTATGGAGTAGGTTCCGAAGGAATGGCCCAATATTATCCATTTCGTATCGGATCTAAATTAATATGATAAAAATATTGTGACGGGGCCAGGTTTGGACTTCCTTGAAATATGTGATAATTTTTAGAAAATGTCAAAATGCGCGTAAGGTTCCAGATATAGTCTAATAGTCCATTTTCATACTCCGTCTAATACAGATAAAGAAAATATTGGTATGGATTTTACAAAAAATCGAAGATTTATATTCAATTTTATTCGGAGTCATAAATTGCTGACATGATTCACAAGTTATGACAGATAAAAGTATTGAAAATTGTTACCCATTGTAGGTGAGATACTACAAGTTGTGCGCAAATATATATTATCTTCAGCGCAGATCTCGTGTTAGCAAAAATGTGTGTGTGTCTGTGTGAAATTTGAAGAGAGTTGGATGATCTCGCTTTCTTTGAGAGTTTTATTTTTGAAATTTCTTGAACCCTTTGTGGGAGAGGTACCGGAAGAAATGGTCCGATCTCGACCATCTTTATAAAAAATCTTGTATTCCTGGAAACATCGATTTGTACCATGTCTGAATAGAATCGGATGTTAATTTCGCGTTTTATGAGCTTCATGGATATTCAAAACCTTGACCCTTTGTGGGGGAGGTACCAGAAGAAATGGTTCGATTTCTACCATCTTTACAACAGATCTTGTGCTGATGGAAATATTTATATTTGAAAAGTCTGAATGGAATTGCATGTTAATTTTAATTTTATGAACTTCATGGATATTCAAAATTTTGACCCTTTGTGGCGTAAAAATAATGGGATATGTGGAATAAGAAGTGAGTCAGATGCTTATTTCGGATTATATAATCTTGACCTTTGTGGGGGAGGTACCAGAAGGAATGATCCGATATCTATCATATATACAACAGATCTTGTGTGTAAATTGGAATTGGATGTAAATTTCGCGTTTTATGAAGTTCATGTATATAGAAACTGTTGACCCTTTTTGGGGAATTGGACTGATATATTTCATCTTCACACCAGATCTTGGGTTTATAAAAATGTTGGGATGTGTGCAATTTTAAGACAATCGGACTCTTACATCACATTTTATAAGAGTTACAATTATTCAAAATTTCGACCATTTGTGGAGGAGACACTTCATGGATATTATCCATTTTTGCACCTGACCTAGAACTGACGCAAATATTAGGAATTGCAAAAATGGAACAACATAGGATTATTGTTTCTCTTTCTGTGCAGAAGAAATATATATGTTTTAAATTTCGATCTTTTTTGGGGGAGGTACCAGAGGGAGTGAACCGATGTATTTCACCTTAATGTCAGACCATGGGTTAATAAAATTACTGAGATGTTTGAAATTTTAAGGCAATCGGACCTTACATCACATTTTATAAGGGTTGACCGATATTGTCCATTTTCGCATCTGACCTAGCACTGTAGTAAATATTAGGATTTGAAAAGTTGGACCACAATCGGATTATACTTTCTCCTTTCTATGCAGTAAAATATTTTTTTTTTTTTGAAAATTCTGACCTTTTGTGGGGGAGGTACCAGAAGGAGTAGACCGATATTGCCCACCTCCGAACCCGATCTAAGTATTATAATAATATTTCGATGCATCAAGTTTAGACCAAATCGGATACTCCCTTCGAGAGTTATAGTGCGCACCAGCCAGCCAGACGGACGGACATCGCCAGATCGACCACAAATGTCCTGAAACGGGTTTGGTTTAAAGAGACGTTGGGTTTTAAATCGTTATTTCTATAAGACACCATTTGGCCGTATCAAATGATATATACTTTCTCTAAAGGTTCTGAAATTATCCTTTAGGTAATGTCTTGAATTTATTGTCTGATTTTTATTTAGGTGAGCTGAAAAAACTGCAACCAACTTCAGACTGCTGTCATTTCTAAGCCACTCGTTCGACATCTGTAAAAATTATTCCAGTGACAGCTTATTATATTGTTTACAAGAGTACAAAAGCATTTTGGTTATTCGTGATGGAATTGAAGCGTGATAGTATGATTTCTTTATATTTGGCTGGAAAACCACAAGTGGCTATCGTTTGAGCACTCCAGCATTTAAATGTGAATAAATCTTTTGTGTCTCGTACCATCGGTCGTTACCGTGATAATGGTAGCGTAGCCCAATGTCAAGGAAGTGGACGGAAGAAAACAACAACATCAGCAGAAATGGTGCGAAAAGTAAAAAGACGACTTGATCAAAGAAACCCGCGTCGCAGTGGTCGAAAAATGGATCGTGGGCTGAACAAATCGCAATATTCCATTCGGCAAATATTGAAAAATGAGCTCGCGGTAAAGACTTTGAAATTCCAAAAAGTGCAAGAACATACACCGCAGCAGAAAGAAAATAGACTCAAAAGAGCTAAAGAGTTGCTTCGCTTGGCCGAAAGTGGAGAACTGCCCAATTTGGTTTTCTCCGATGAGCAAACATTCGTTGTCCAGCAGGTTGTAAACAAACACAATGATCGTGTTTACTTACCAAAGAGGTCAGCTGAAATTGGCCACTAGAACTCAAGCGCCGGCCATAGTGATGGTGTGGGCCGCCATAACAGCCGATGGTCGCTCTCCGCTCGGGTTCATCGACAGTGGCATCAGAATAAATGCCGAATTACGAAAATATTCCGTATGGTGAATTAAAGGCTTGGGAACGCAAACATTTTGGCCGCAGACCTTGGACATTCCAACAACACCAACTCAGCACCATCGCACTCAGCACTCCACCCAAGAATGGTTACAAAATGAGGTTCCTCGCCTCATTTCCAGCGCACAATGGCTGCCAAAATCTCCGGATACCAATCCGTTGGACTATTGTGTCCGGAGTATTTTGGAAAGCAAGGTTGGCACTAACAAATACCAAAGTGTCGATCACCTCAAGCGAGCGCTTCGCCGGGAGTGTGCCAAATTCCGCAGAGCACCATTGGGGCCGCGTGTGGCGGTTTCATTGGCCGTTTGAAGGTCATATTTCGTACCAAAGATGACCATTTCGAACAAATCTAAACTTATTTTTAAATGTGATACTATTTCCGACATTTTTTGTTTTCATTCAATAAAATTAAAAAAAAAATGTAAAATTTTTCGCCTTTGACTTTTTTGCAGTTTTTTTATCCACCCTCTCTAGTCATATGACTGGGGGTGTAATAGAGTTTCTGAAATTATTCTTTATGTATGTCCTGAATTAATTGCCAGACTTATATTTCAGGGACCACTTTATATCAATTTAAAACTTATAGTCAAATTCACAAGATTTAAAAATTCCTGAAATATAAAAATTAAAATTAAGAACTTACCTTCATATGTGTGTTTTGTGTTGATTGTTGAGCATTGGCTTCAATTTTGCATTCTTGATTTGAATTCTTCCATAGAATTATATTTTTAATTCTTTTCAAAAATATTTTGTTTAATTGTATATGTTCCATTGTTTTTCCTTCTTTTTATTCATTCATTCCATTTCATAATGACTATGTAAATTGAGTCTTAAAGTATTAGCAAAAACATGTTGTTTCTTAAAATAGTAAATGTTGTTGTTTTTTATTCTCTCCAAAAGAGCACTCAACCATCATGAATGGATGGACTGCATAATTTCATGGGTTTGTTTAACATATTTGGCAAAATGTGTATCCGGCTTAGGATCCAAATCCAATAAAGTGATTTTCGTAATAAAGTGTTGGCCTTCTATGCAGATCATATGGGGATTTGTGCATAAGCTGCTGAAGAAAAGTGAAAAAATGAACAAAGTTTTTCTTATATTCATTAACACATATTTAAAGTCAAAATTGTTTTCCTACCAGTTGGCCATGACTTGGTTTGATATTTGCCGAAATGTTATCATTATGGAACAATCCAAGGCAGTGGCAGCCAGCAGGTATTGTTCCTCGGCACTCAGTTGGGAAATTTCCAATTTTGTGGGGCCACATTTGTATTTCTGGAGTAGTGTTGATAAAATGTCATAGGATTTGCCTTTCTTCTTTTGATAGTTTTCCTTGAACATGTGGGGAAAATGTTTCTGTGGAAAATAATGGAAAAAGGTAAAATGAAAATATTAATGAAAAATGAAAGTGAAAGCACATCAAGTATTTAAGACACAAAAAAGTGAATTGCTGAACTTTTAGGGATTGAATTTATTTAGCCGTTTAAAAATGCTAGAAAGTCCTACATTCACACAACAACTCCGGCAGATCTTCTCTCTATATAAAGATCAAACGAAGTTCTTATCACAGCGGATCTACAGAAGCTGACTACAGATATTTAAGGAGTTATGGCCATTTTAAAATATTAAATAATTCGTGTATAGATTAGTGAGTTATGGCCATTTTAAAATATTAAATAATTCGTGTATAGATTAGTGATCACAAATAATAGCAAAAAACACCGAAAACTCAATATTTAAGGAGTTATGGCCATTTTAAAATTGTTAATAATTCATGCCTAAATAACTGATCACAAATAATAGCTAAAAACACCGAAAACTCAATATTTAAGGAGTTATGGCCATTTTAAAATTTTTAATAATTCATGCTTGCCAAATATTCAATTTAAATAAAATCTAATGAATTATAAAAATTCTTTCTTATCAATTGTTACTATCTACCGAAACCACAGTCAATGGAACAGGCGGACAAAGAAGACCCTGTTGAGTATTCCCCCATTGGCTTAACTTCTTATTACTCTCTGTTGCAGAGAGCAATGTTTTTTTTTCTCCTCGAAAAAATCAACCGAAAAAATGTTTTATATAGAGATTTTTCTAAACATAGATCTTTAGTGTGTACAAGAAACGCTGAGGGCATAATAACTATGAAAGACATATTGAAATTCCACTTTATACCCAGAGCTCCAAAATATTCCCTTTGATTCGAGTTTGGTTTGAAACTCGAACTCGAGAGAGTAGAAAAAAATAAATCAGGTATATTCTATTTTTCTATAACACTCGAATACGGGCGAGTATGTTTTGCATTGTCTCGAAATCGAGAAAATTCTATTCTTGCCGAGGGTTATCATAGTTTTTCAATTCTGTTTTTATATCCTCCATCATAGTATGGAGGGTATATTAAGTTTGTCATTCCGTTTGTAACAACTCGAAATACACACTTTAGACCCCACAAAGTAAATATATTCTTGATCGGCGTTAAATTCTATGTCGATTTAGCGATGTCCGTCTGTCTATCCGTCTGTCCGTCTCTGGAAATCACTCTAGCTTCCGAACGAATTAAATATATTGATAAGATAAGTAAGATAAAATTTTACTCAAATGTATATTATATCTGCAGGACTTTTGGTATTGAAAATGGGCCATGTAGATCCACGTTTTGGTATGGACACCATATAATGGTAACTCCCTATTTTCGGTATTTTTGTGATTTAAGCGACATTATTTACCGGAATTGTTTCAGTTTTGTTATTTGAAGTTCGTAATGGTTACTACAGCCTACGACAGATAAATGTCTATGCAGGTCCACGTCTTCGTACAACCTACATATGAAGGTACCCCCCGAAATTCGGTATTTTAATGATTTTAGGGACATTTTTCACCAGATTTGTTTTAAACTTGGTATTTGAATTTCGTAATGGATACTACAGCCTAAGACAGAAAATTGTCACGTCTTCGTATAACCTCCCTATCCCGATATTCGGTATTTTGATTTTATCGACATCTGAATATTGTAGTGGCTTATGACAAATGTTACCCATGCAGGTTCACGTCGTCGTATAGAACAGATACATTCGGTGTTTTTAAGATTTTAACGGATTTTATTGTTTTCGAGAATTGCCAAATTCGTTCCAAATGGTGGAGGATATTCAAAGTTCGGCCCGGCAGAACTTACTGGTTTGTAACTTGTTTTTTAATAAAATTATATATTAGATTAAAAAAATCTCTATTTTGAACTTTTTGACTCTCTCTCTCTCTTATTTTTCAAATAGAATCACTCGTGAGCGCAAACAAATGATGAGAGAGAAGCAATTTGTTAAAATCGTAATCTTCGAGTACTGCCACTTGCGAGTAAAATAGAGCAAATCTGCTTATAAACATTGTTGTCTACCCATCTGAATATGTTGTATCTATAGAAACGAAGATTATATCCGCAGATGATCCAAGGACGGCCTTTACAGAACCTTAGACAGTTTTTAAAGAAGGACTTCTTTATAGAAGAACTGAAAATGGGTTTCTCTCTTTACGGCAGTGCTGGCTCTCTTCATAATTGAGATGATCGTTCCATAGAAAAACTGCTAAACATGTTATCTCTATAGGAGAGCTTCTGGAATTCTACCCCCCTGTGTAACAGTTTGTCTATACAAGGAGTACAATTTTCTCTATAGGAGTACCATTTTGGGTCTTTAGTCCATAAAAGTGGTTTAAAGTTCCTTTCTTTCTAAAGGAAAGCTATTGAAGATACCTCTCTATTAAAGGTATTTTCTCTATAACGAAGCTGTAAGAGATATCCCCCCCTATATAAGGGTTCTAAAAGTCTTTTCTTTCCAAAGGAAAGCTATTGAAGGTATCTCCCTATTAAAGTTAATTTGAAGGTATTTTCTCTACATTGCAGCTGTAAGAGATCTTCCCCCCTATATAAGGGTTCTAAAAGTCTAATATTTTTAGAGGAGCTATTAAAAGTCTTCTCCGTCTATAGAAGAGCGTTTAAGGTTTTCTGCGTACAGAGGATTTGTTAAAGTTATCTCCGTAGAAAAATTGTTACAAGTCTTCTCTACAGAGATCTGTTAAATGTCTTATCTGGGGTGACGTTCAAGCTATCAATGCTTTCTCTCTGTAAAAACCTGATAAAAACCGCATTTCTACAAAAGCGCTTCTGAAAGTCTTCTCTATCCATAGAAAAGCTGTCAAAGGCCTCTCTATAGAAGAACTGTTAAGTATTCTCTCTATAGAAGAGCTGAGCAAATAATTAATTTCTATAAAAGATGTCTTGTCTCTATACAGAAGCTATAGTAGGCCTTCTCTTTATAAATTCCTGTTAAAAGTATTATCTCCATAGTAGAACAGACTTTATCTCATTAAAAGACGCTAAGGTTTTTTGCATATGGAAGAATTATAAAGGGGTTTCTTTCTTTAGAAGAATTGTTAAATAGCAAATTTGTTAACGGTCTTCTTCCCACAGAAGAACGGTTTAGAGTATTTTCTTTATAGAAGAGTATTTTCTTCATTGCTAACTTCTCTCAACGTTAGTGGCCTTCTGTCTATAAAAGATCTTTAAAGGTCATCTCCTGTATAAGAGCTATTACCGATCTTCACTCTACAATCGAATTGTTAAAGGCCTCATCTCTTTAAAAGATCTGTCAAAGATTTTTTTTATTCCAAAAGCGTTACTAAAAGTCTTACTTCGCCACTAGAGATATTCTTTCTAAAGAAAAGCCGTTAAAGGTCTTCTTTTCTTTTTTTAGAGAAATTCTTAAAATTTTCTTTTTTAGAAAAGAGCGATTAAAGTCTTTGTCTATGGAAGAGCTGTCGTAGGTCCTTATCTTACAGAAGAGTTGTTTAAATTTTTCATTCTATAAAACATCTATTGAAGGTACTCTTCTGTTTAATGTCTTATCTACCTAGAGAAGAGTCGTTAAAGGCCTTCTATCCATATACAATCTGCAGGAGACCTGTGAAACGTCCTCTATCTACAATATAACTGTTAAAAGTCTTATATGTATATACGACCAGAAAAAGCTGTGGAAGAGCTTTTTCAGGTATTCTATCTTTAAGAAACCCCAAGAACGTCTTCTGACCAGACCAGACCTGACTTTTATAAAAATAACTGCTATTCGTATGTAGGACACTTGTTCATGGTCTCATATCTATGGCGACATGATATAACGCCCAAATCAACCAAATCTCTTGACCATGGAGTAACCAAATTTTATCCTAAACCACCTTTTTTCCCTTTAAATTTCCATCATGGATTTTTTGTCGCAACTTCCTGGTTTCCTTTAACTAAGATTTAAAAAGAAATTCGGAAATGATGTTACAATACGTTGGTTTGTCCACTCATCTTTAGGAAGATTTCTGTTTTTTCCAAGGTCTATCCCCCCAAAACCCATAGCATACATCCTCTTTCAAAAATCTAGTTTTCACTTTCCTTTCATTGTTCTTCAAATCCCATATCCTGGCTGTGTAAAAGTAAAAACCACTTTGCAATGAGTGTGTGTGTGTGGATTTATACATCTATATGTAGGTGGGCTGGTGTTAGGAATAAAAAATTACAGCTTTACTCACCTTGGCCAACAACTGTAAATTCAAAATTTTTTCCAAAACACAATTTTTTGGTAAGCTCAACATTTCCGGTATATTCTTCTCCTTTGGCTTAACAGAGACATCAGCGCCAACGGAAGTGGGACAATGGGGCCGAGAATCACTAGCCTTGTATGCTAAAGAAGATTTCTTTGCATCATTGAATTGTGTTGTAGTAGTTGGTGTGATAGTTGTTGTTGTTGTCATGGTGATGCCTGCTGCCATTTCAGAATTTGACTTAGTGCTGATTCTGGTGGTGGTGTTAGCTTTAATGAAAGTTGTGTTAACTTTGGCAACATCCGATTCCGGTCCGGTTTCCGCTTTGATTGTTTTTAGCTTTTTGCAAGGCGTCGTCTCACTGGTCTGTGGTTTACCATCATCGTCATGTGACAATTCCATGGCAGTCATTTGGGCATCGCTTTGCCTAGATGCATTGGCGTCATAAGCCAGATCGTCGTCGTCAGCAGTTGGCAGATTTGCATGGAATGCAGTTGGTGCTTGTTGCAAGGGGGTGTAGTCTCGAAGAAGGCATATCACCATCAATTGCTTTATTATTTGGAGTTGTTGGCTGTAGCAAAAAAAAGAGATCCGGTTAAGATGGCTAAAAAGGTCAAATTGGCTGACTTCGATAAGGATTTTTAAAAAAATATTTATTGGAGCAATAGATATAACGGAACGACTTTCTCCAAATGGTAAAATTCGGTTGAATATGAAAAAATCTATTCAATTTGGGCAGATATTGACATATGGTGAGCAATAACCCTAAAGTCGGATGAAGATGCACATCGACGCAATATAAAAATCTGACCGATCTCGATAAAATTTGGCAGGGATATTTTCGAGCTGTATCTGACGTCCAGTATCAAGTATCATTGTTGTGGAATTCATATTACACATGTGAGGGACTTTAACACCAAATCGGATGAAGCATATGTATGGGAGCTATAGATAACTTTTTCTGATAATCTATCTTCTCTCTAGAGAAGATAGAAGACATCTTTAAGGTACTACATCTGCAGGAGACCTCTGTGGGGCTTTTTTTTTGTTCATTCTTAGGGTCCTTTGTATGTAGAAGACATTTTAAAGATTTCCCCTGCAAAGAAGACTTGTGAAGGCTTCTCCACAGCTATATCTGAGCCGATTTTCACCCCAATTTGAAGCGCTTGCTTTTAGACTGATTTTCTTCGGAAATGCTAAAATTTAATTCATTTAGGTCGATATTAGCAATTTGGTGCACAAAAACCCTGAAATCGGATAAAGATATATATGGGAGCTATATCCAAATCTGAACCGATCTTGACAAACATTTTAAACACTTATTTCGGAGCTGTATCTGTTTTCTGGTACCAAAGAATATTGCTGTGGAGTGCATATTACGCATGTGAGGGACTTTAACACCAAATCGGATAAAAAATATGTATGGAAGCTATAGCTATATCTGAACCGATTTTCGCCAGATTTGAGATACTTCTTTCTAGGATGAATTTAGAAGGAATTGCTAAAATGCAATTATTTTGGGCTGATTTTAACCCTTTTGTTGAACAATAAAACTGAAATTGGATAAAGATATACAGGGCGAGATAAAAAAATCTGCAACAAAGTCAGACGGCATAATTTTTACATTTTTTTTTTTTAATTTTTATTGAATGAAAGCAAAAAATGTCGGAAATAGCATCAAATTTTAGAATAAGTTTAGATTTGTTCGAATTGGTCACCTTTGGCACGAATTATGGCCATCAAATGGCCAATAAAACCATCACACGCTGCTCTGCTCGAATGTTGCTCTGCGGTATTTTGGCCCATCCTCCCGGCGAAGCGCTTGCTTGAGGTGATCGACTCTTTGGTATTTTTTAGTGCCAACCTTGCTTTCCAAAATACTCCAGACACAATAGTCCAACGGATTGGTATCCGGAGATTTTGGTGGCCATTGTGCGCTGGAAATGTAGTGAGGAATGTCCAATGAGTTCTGTTGGAATGTCCAAGGTCTGCGGCCAAAATTTTTGCGTGCCCAAGGCTTTAATACATTATCCAAAATGTATTCTAGATAATATTCCGCATTTATTCTGATGCCACGGTCGTTTAATACGAGTGGAGAGCGACCATCGGCTGTTATGTTGGCCCACACCATTACCATGGATGGCGCTTGAGTTCTGGTGGCCAACAGAAGGTGCACATTTTCAGCTGACCTCTATGCCAAGTAAAATAGTTAAACTGCGAGCGGAGAGCGAACATCGGCTGTTATGAAGGCCCACAACATCACCATGGCCGACGCTTGAGTTCTGGTGTCTTGTGGCCAACCGAAGGTGCACATTTTCAGCTGACTTCTTTGGCAAGTAAACACGATCATTTTGTTTGTTTAAAAACTGCTGGACAACGATTGTTTTCTCATCGGAGACGGAGAAAACGAAATTCGGCAGTTCACCACTTTCGACCAAGCGAAGCAGCTCTTTAGCTCTTTTGAGTCTATTATCTTTCTGCTGCGGTGTAAGTTTTTGCACTTTTTGGACTTTCAATAGATGTACCCCGAGCTCAGTAGCCAAATGGAATATTGCGATATATTCAGCTCAAGAGCCATTTTTTGGCCACTGCGACGCGGGTTTCGATCAATTCGCTTCTTTACTTCTCGAACCATTTCTGCTAATGTTGCTGTTTTCTTCCGTCCACTTCCTTGACGTTGGGCTACGCTACCAGTATAACGGCAACGAGCGATGGTACGAGACGTAAAAGATTTATTCACATTTAAATGCTGGAGAGCTCTAACGATAGTCACTTGTGGTTTTCCAGGTAAATATAAAGAAATCTTGAATGAAGCTTGAATTCCATTACGAAAAACTTTTTTTCTGGAAAAAACTCACCAAAATGCTTTTGTACGATTGTAAACAATATAATGAGCTATCACTGGAATAATTTTAACAGCTATCGGACGAGTGGCTTAGAAATGACTGTAGTCTGAAGTTGGTTGCAGTTTTTTTTCTCATCCTGGAGCTATAGCTATATCTGAACCGAAGACTTTCAATAAGTTCTAAAATTGATGTACTTGCTTCTAAACTGAATTTAGTGGGATGTGCCAAAATTCAGGTTATTTTATTTTTAGGACCCTTTATTTATTTAAAAAATATTTTTTTATTTAAAAATATTCTTTCTAGGAAAAAACCTCTTGATTGCCTTCTTTTAAAAATTCTTATTTTCAAAGAACATATGTTGGAAGACTTTTAAACGCTTATTCATCAATAAAAGATCGTCAAACTATAGCATCTGATATCTGTAGAGACTCCTTATAATCTCGTTTTTAAATCTAATATATGTATAAGACCAAATTCTACTTAAAATCTGCAATTTGGTCGTTTTTTATAGAAGTAGGAAATTTTATATTCACAGAATGCAAATAGGAGGTGTTTTACTTTTAGGATACCCTCTACCGATAGAATATATTTCCAATGTGTTATATTGTCCAGGCTATGAACCGAAGACTTTTAATTTGATGTACTTGCTCCTAGACTCAATTCAGTCGAATGCGCCAAAATGCAGGTCATTTGAACTGATATTGGCCATTTGGTTCACAATTAACCTGAAATCGGTTGAATATACAGGGTTGCCCATATTCGACGGACCCATCTGGCAAAGCCATAACTTTTGACAGAGATGTCACATCGCTTAATGACATACCGCGTTTGAAGCGTCAGTCCAAGCAGATTTTTACCATGAACCAAGACACGCCACGCGAGCGCTCTGAAATAGTTGAAATTTACATTCAACAGAAGAAGTGAAAACTCAACGTGCTTTTAAAACATTAAAAAATGTGAGAAGTGCGCCTTCTAAGAACACCATTAAGCGTTTATACGAAAAATTTTCGACTGGTAAGACTCTTTCTAATCCGAAGAGGCCATATAAAAGTCGACCAAGGCGATCGGCCGAGAATATCGCTGCCGTACGAGCCAGTGTTGAGAGGTCCCCAAGAACATCCCAAAAACGCCATTCTCAGCAGTTGGGCATGGCTGGGTCCACTTTACAACGGATTATTCACATTAATTTGCATTTGTTCCCGTACAAAATTCAATTGACGCAAAGAATGTTGCCTGCGGACAAGCCTCGTCGATTGGAATGGGCCCAAAGAGCTCAAAGGTCCGTCGAATATGGGCAACCCTGTATATATGGGAGCTATATCCAAATCTGAACCGATTCCCACCAATTTCAATAGGGTTCATCCTTGGGCCACTGACATGCAGAGATCGACTCAGAAAGTGATTTTATGAAGACCCTCAAAAGTAACTATGGGTCTATCTCCAAATCTGAACCGATTCCCACCAATTTCAATAGGGTTCGTCCTTGGCCCGCTGACAAGCATACATCGACTCAGAAAGTGATTTTATGAAGATCCTCAAAAGTAACTATGGGTCTATCTCCCTCCATTCTCCATTTTATAAAAAAATGCAAAAAGGCATAATACCCTTACCACTATGTGGTGTAGGGTATAAAAATGGAGGTATTGACCGAGATATATATATCAAAAATATTCAATTTAAACTGCTGATTTGAAGCTCATGTTGGCTTTCTCGTTGCCCCACATTCTCAATTCCCCAAGCGAGTCATTACTTTTCCCTTTTGAATCCATTCTTCCATTTAACACAATTATTTGATGTTCGTATAACCAAAGAAATATTTATTGTTGATGTTGTTGCTTAACTTATTTTCATTGGTATTAGCAGCAGTGTAGTCTCCAGCAACAACACCAACTACATCATTTATTTTCTCTCTGATTCGTATGCGGTGCAAGTGTCACAGTTGTGCAAATATTGGTTGGGTCCCATGCATTTGGGGGTTCAATGGTCTGGTGGTTCGTTGTTGTTATATTTGGTACGATTTTCTCTTTAGGTGCTTGCAAGCTTTACCATGTAGTAGTACTGGTACATCTGACTTCTATTTGCTTTGTAATTTTATTTCATTCGGTTTGGCTTCCACAACACAGTCTCAAATGTTTTCGGGTTAGTTGCAACTATTTATTTATTTGTTTGCTTCTCTTTTTTTCTTTTTGGTTTGCTTAGCTTTTTCTGGGAAAATTGTTAGAAAATATATTTATTTTCATTATTTATGGTTAGTTTATTTTGTGTGAGTGTGTGTGTGTGTGTGTGAAAGTGTGGGATTTCCAGTTGTTCGCCTGTCAAAGTGCACTTATATTTTATTGCAATTGGGCGGTTTACAATGAGGCCGAAAGCAATAGAGACCGAAAGGGAGAGAAAGTGCAAAAGCAAGTAACTACTTCAAAGGTTGAGTCAATAATTTTTAAATGCAATCAAAGGTGAAAATTCAAGGAAATAAATGGCCGCAAGGAATTAGAGCGAGAATGGAAAACTTAACAAGGATTCGATAAAAATTTATTATTATACCCTACAACACTATGTGTTGGGGGTATTATAAGTTTGAGTGGGTCAACAATTATGTAACACCTCGAAGTAATGGTTTCCGATATAGAAAACTTTGTATGGATATTCCTATATCGCCGAGCTTAGTCTATCTAGATATGTATATCCGTCCGTCTGCCTGTCAATATTTATTTGCAATCATGCTACAGGTCGTAATTATGACTCGATCCTCACAAAATAGAAAATGCAGGTGGGGTTAGTGTCAGAATAGAAGCCGATTGTTTTTTGGAGATGACACCAAAATATTTACAGATTGGAATGGATCAAAAACAGAAACATTTCCTGATTTTGCTGTTACTCTACAGGCCACAATTAAAGACCAATCGGAATTTTGCACTGGTGTCATTTCTAAGCCACTCGTCCGAAAGCTGTTAAAATTATTCCAGTGACAGCTCATTATACTGTTTACAAGCGTACAAAAGCATTTTGCTGAGAATTTTCCAGAAAAAAAAGTTATTCGTAATGGACTTCAAGCGTGATAGTGTGATCTCTTTATATTTGGCTGGAAAACCACAAGTGGCTATCGTTAGAGCGCTCCAGTCTGGTACCATCCCTCGTTACCGTGATACTGGTAGCGTAGTCCGACGTCAAGAAAGTGGACGTAAGAAAACAGCATCATCAACAGAAATAGTTCGAAAAGTAAAAAATCGACTTGAACGAAACCAGCATCGCAGTGGCCGAAAAATAGCTCGTGAGGTGAACATATCGCAATATTCCATTCGTCAAATATTGACAAATTAGCTCCGGGTAAAGCCATTGTAATTCCAAAAATTGCAAGAATTTACACCGCAACAGAAAGAAAATAGGCTTAAAAGAGTTGCTTCGCTGGGCCGAAAGTGTTGAACTACCGAATTTGGTTTTCTCCGATGAGAAAATATTTGTTGTCCAGCAGTTTGTAAACAAACAAAATGAACTTGTTTACTTGCCAAAGAGGTCAGCTAAAAATGTGCACCTTCGATTGGCCACCAAAACTCAAGCGCCGGCCATGGTAATGGTGTGGGCCGCCATAACTGCCGATGGTCACTCTCCGCTCGTATTAATAGACCGTTGCATCAGAATAAATGCCGAATATTATCGCGAAAATATTCTGGAGGGTGTATTATTGCCTTGGGCACGCAAACATTTTGGCGGCAGACCTTGGACATTCCAACAGGACTCAGCGCAATCACACTGAACACGTGCCACCCAAGAATGGTTACAAAATGAGGTTCCTCGCTGTATTTCCAGCACACAATGGCTACCAAAATCTTCGGATACCAATCCGTTGGACTGTCTGGAGTATTTTGGAAAGCAAGGTTGGCACTAAAAAATAAATAAATAAAGTGTCGATCACCTCAAGCAAGCGCTTCGCCGGGAGTGGACCAAAATACCGCAGAGCAACATTCGGGCAGCGTGTGATGGTTTCATTGAAGGTCACAATTCGTGCCAAAGGTGACCAATTCGACCAAATCTAAACTTATTCTAAAATTTGATGCTATTTCCGACATATTTTGCTTTCATTCAATAAAATTAAAAGAAAATTTTAAAAATTATGTCCTTTGGCTTTTTGCAGTCTTTCATTATCACTTGCTACGACAACGATTAAAGGGAGTTTTTAAGTATAATTTTGAAAAATGGACCAAAAAGACTCTTCTTCTGACCCGCATGAAGGCTAAAATTGTCGATCAAAATAATCATCGTGTTTTTATTTAGAATACGACAGTGTATACCAAAAATGCAAGGATTCTGCTGGTTTTCCCAGCAATTATTGGAACAAATTAAATTTTGTTGTACAGTGTAGTTAGTATTTGGCACAATTGTTATATAAAAGTGATAGTTTTGTCCTCATTGGTTCACAGCCTCAGTTAATGCTTAGTTAATATTTACATTCATATCTACGCTCTATAGCAATAAGATATGTATATTATAGAACTACAACCTCCAAAGACATGTAGCATCTGCCATTCTTGAAAATCCCCTGAGCTATTTGAAAATCTTAAATTTTATTCTTCCTTTAAAGATTTTCAAATTTCCCAGTTATTTTCGACAATAAAGCTCCTCTGTCTATATTTTATACTCTGCTACATAAAACTACTTTTTTGTAATTTTTTTATTATTTTGACTTACCTCGAAAATAAATCTTCAATTTTGGACAAGCGGCTAAGTTGGTCATCGAACACAACGATGCCATTCTTGAAGATACGTAAATTATTCTGGGGACATGTGAAAAGTGCATGCAAAGCATTCCACATCCGAGCTGGCACACTTTCAATGGATACCCCATAAAATATGCATGCGGAGGGCCAAAAAAGTGAAAAAGAAACAAAAAAAAAAAAAAAAGACGACACATCGATTATTCGAGGAAACACAGAGAGAAAGAGAAAAAGAATGAAAAACCAAACTGAACGTTAAAATGATAAAAGCCATATTGAAAGTGAAATTGATTTTGATATTGGCTGTGAGATAATAAATTGTCGTTGTAATACCTACCCAGAGAACAAATCGATGGGACAGTAATTGCTGCGCTGGAGAATTTTTTTCTGCTGCAACTAACAACATGTGAAGGAAGAAGATAAATGGTAAAGGAGATAAAGTTAGACCATAGGAAAAAGTATTAAATGGGGAAAAACAAAGCTGGAAAAAAGGCAATAGCTTTAATAAGGCACAGTGGGGTGGCTGGTTTCAAAAATGAGATATAAATACCTACTTTGGAGTTATAGGTGTTATATAAAAGGTTGATTGGCTGAATATAGGCTCTTGTAAATATGCATGTTAAATTTTGTCTGAAATATTTATTTCCCCATGCAATGAGAAGTTCATATCGGACATTTAAAAAATTAAACCGGCCAGCAGATATATAGTCTCATCCTTTGAGTATTTATAGAATATTAGCAAGTTCCCGCTGCTCCATCGATGAAAACTCCCCCTTAAAATTTTAGATTTATTTCAGCAGTTCGTTTTAGTCCTTTTTAGTACTCAAAATTCACAATTTTTGAGATTGATAACATTTTTCAATCAAAACTCCATGAATTGTATTTTCGGACATTTAAGGTGTTATATATTATTCAGGTTCTTCCATTTTCGGAAAGAATAATAGGAAACGGTTTAACTCTTACACCAAAGATCCTTCAAAATATTTTATTTTGAAGTTCACCGAAAAGGATATATGTAAATCCATTGTACAATGGACCCACATCCAATTTTTCTGCCCAAAACTATTTCAACGTCTCTAGAAACTCTATTTAGTACAATTATAGTACGCATGTCCAAAATCAACTCCTTCTCTCAACCACAGACGCCAACAGTGACATTTACATCTAGTCGGAATTCCAGCTCCATTACTTCAACCAATACTCAATTTAGTACTTTTCTAAAAATTATATTGCAAATTTCCAGGACCGCCTCCATATCTCAATCCCAGAAACCAACAGAGACTTTAATGCCAAATTTCCGGATTCCAGCTCCATCCCTTTACCCAATTTAGTACCACAAAGTACTTTTCGAAAAATTATAGTGCACATTTCGAAAACTACCGCCATAACTTAACCACAGACAAGTATCAAATTTCGGGATTTCTGCTCTATTCCCTCACCCAATAACAAGATTATTACACATTTCCAAGACCACCTCTATAACTCAAAACCACCTCAATATCTCAATTTTAGGTAGAAAAAAAGACCTCAATATCAAATTTCAAATTCGAGCTTTTCGTAAAAATACATTGCCAAGATCACATCCATACCTCAATTCCAGATGCCAAGAGAGACCTCAATATCAAATTTCGGGATTCCAGCTCTATCCCTTCACCCAATACCAAATTTAGTACCACTTAGTACTTTTCGTACAAATATGGCACACATTTCCCAAATCACCTTCACATCTAGAAACCTAAATATCAAATTTCGAGATTTCAGCTCCATCCCTTCATCTACTAGAAAATTTAGTACCTCTTAGTGTTTTTCAAACAATTATCGTACGCTTTCCAAAACCACCTCCGTATCTTAACTACAGAAGTCAACAGTGACATCAGTATCAAATTTTCAGGATTTCAACTCTATTCCTTCGTCCAATACCAAATTTAGTACTATTTAGTACTTTTCGTACAATTATATTAGACATTTCCAAGGCCATCTTCATATCTCAATCCCAGATACCAACAGAGACCCCAATATCAAATTTGTGGATTCCAAACTTATCCTTTCTCCCAATACCAATTTTGGTACCACATAGTACTTTTCGTACAAATATGGTACACATTTCCAAGATCACATACATACCTCAATCACAGATGCCAAGAGAGACCTCAATATCAAATTTGAGGTTTTCAGCCATACCCCTTTTCCCAGTACCAAATTTAGTACTTTTCGTACAAATAAAGGTGGCATTTCCAACCTACCCTCAAATATCAAACAAAGATATTATCGGTAAGCTAAATATCAAATTTCAGAATTGTATCTATATCCCTTTAACCAATACTAAATTTAATACCATTTAGTACTTTTCGTAGGAGTACGATTACAATTAGTAAACATTTTCGAAATCAAACACATATGTCCAGGCTACACATGAAAAGTGACCCTAATACCGAATATCTTTCTGCTCACCAAATACCAAAGTGTACCATATAAAGTACTATTTGGTAGTTTTCGTACACTTATAGTACACATTTCCAAAACCCCCTCTTTATCACCAACCTTCAAACAAAAAGGACCCCAATACAAAAATCCAGCTTCATTCCCTCACTCTAAACCAACCTGTTCCAAATTTTAGTACCATTTAGTACACTTCGCGTACTAAGTACACTTTTCCAAAACCACCCTCATTTATCAAACTTATTTTCCGGTCTTGATTCTCATACCAAAAATCAAGTTTTTTACTTCTATCAGTTCAAATAATACCAAATGGTACTATTTAAGTACTATTTTACAACTTTTCGTAACCTTCAAGTTCGTATTTCCAAAAACCAATTAGTGTATCTATCACGCACTCCATCTGTGACTACCTTTCCAAATTTCAGAATTCTTGCTCATTTCCTTTGTCCAATACAAGGTATTTAATTTTCAGTACATTTTAGTACCTTCCGTACCCTTTTAGAACTAATTCCCAAAAAACCCAGGCTTATCACATGCCTATGCTCAAAAATTTCAAGATACCAGCTTCGTCTGGACGTTGTTTCTCAGTCAGGTATTTCACTACTCCTTTATATTTATAGATTGCCCAACCCTTCCAACCTGCACTGTGCCAGCCCCGGCGTACTATTGCCTTTATTCTTCTCTCCAATCATTCATTTTTTTTTTTCAAAACTGCAAGACACTTACCTTTAAAAACTGCATACTGCAATAGCGACACCTGATGTCCACCTTATCGTGTGAGGCTGCTCCAGCTCCCCCCACTGTAGCTGCTTTGGATGCCGCTGACAATGATTTTTGTAGTGGAGATGTTGTAGTTTTTGTTATGGATGACTTATTTTGAGTGGCCGTAAAGCATTCTTTGTCAGCTGATGTTTTCAATGTGCCTGTGGATGTAGACGACGACGACGACGAGGAGGTGGCATCTCCCACATCCGCCAAACTATCTGGCTGTTGCATGGCTGTTACTCCTGCTGCTGCTGTTGCTGGCTTTATATCAAATAAATTGTTAACATCGTTTGGCAAGAGCCAACCTTGTTTGGGCTTTATTTCAATGGCGAATGTATCTTCCAGGAAAATGCTGTTGTTGCTGGCACCGGCACCACAAGCGGCATCCTGGACAGCAACGGCAGGACAACAACGTTGAGGACATTGTTGTTTTGATTTTGTTTGCTTTGTTTTGCAATGACCCATGGAAGAAACAAAAAGAGGCAACAACAAATTCAACATTCAAAGATAACAAAGAGCCAGGTATGGTTCACAAAAATCAAAATAAAAGTGCTGCCTCCAACCGATACCAAAAAACAAAAATGGACAAACCAGTTAAAAGCCATGAAAATAATAAATTTCATAAACCTCCCCCACAAAAAAAAAAATCATGGAACCAGACTTAAAAACATAAAAATCACAACAGACTTTAGAAGTTGACGATGTTGTTGTGGTTGTTGATTTTTTTTAACAAATACACTGACATAATAAAACTTTAACAAAAATCAGATATCCAATGATGCATTGTCCTGGGGAAAAACACAATGCAAGTCATCAGTTGGCTGCTGTGGCAACAAGAGAAGACTAACATCCTCACCACCACGATATGCAACCAGACTTTGTCGTTTGTGTTCTTTTGTCATTTCAGCATTAAATTGAGAGTGAAACAACAAACAGACATTGGCCAACATCAGGATAGAGGGATTATCACATATGTGTGGTCCACACATGAGGATTTATATGACTGAGTTCAGTCAATATGTCTGTTTTGGGGAAAACTTTAAGAGATGAATTATGTAACTTCCTTGTGTGGGTTTTCTATAAAAAGGGGAAATTGTTGACTTTGTGGTGCGGATTTGAAAATCTATTTTTTATGAATTTTCTTAAATTTAGCAGGAGTTCAGGCATACATGAAAAGATTGCTACAAACCTTATACAGTTCGGCAGATATGCAAGAATTTAAAGATATTCTATAGGCAGAGCAGCCTGCACATTTTACCATTTTCCGTTTTTTTTTTTATTAATCAATTAGATATTACTCCATGGTACTGGAGGACTTCGCGTAGGTGTTGACACCGGCCTACAAAAGGAAACTCAAAAGTAGCAGAAGGGGCTGTCATTGAAAATTCAGGTCAGGTCAGAAACCTGACCAAAGTACAACAACCGATGCCTGAGAAAACCAAAAGGGGTGAATCTGAAATAACAGGTGAGTAGAGTGGGCAAGTAATCTGAACGATGGACCCAGAGGCGTACTGTCGCAGAGAAAGGATCCAAGGCAGTGAGTTATACGAAGCCACCGGGAACTGAGGAGCTGTGTCTAGGAGTAAGCTAACACGGTGAGTTCTTACAAGCCACCAGCAAAAGAAGCGAATTGAGGGAAGCCGGTTAGTTGCTAAAAGCCGCAAGAGATTCCAACTTTGAGTTCCTAAGCCGATGCGTTTGGTGAAGGAATTTCACCGTCATACAAGGGGAAACCCGTTCAGATCTTGGTACAGGTACCAAAACTCGTCGTGTATATTCTATGTTCAGAATAAACAGGACTAACCTCGACTAAACCAGAAATATCGTATTTTCCTTACTACAGTCGCTGACACACATCAGTACCTGCCAATGTTATCCCATTTGGAGTTTGGATATCTGACTTAGCAGTAGTCAGAGATAGGGCGGACTCAGCATTAGCCTTGAATACCTTGAAATCGATTTTCAATTGCCATCTTAAGATAGCCTTCTGGGAGGGAGATTTTTTTGACATTGCCGATATATCAGTTCAACGGCGGATTGGCAGTCATTTCATTTGTTGCAATGCTATTGTGGCCAACAAAGCCAAGATGGAATTCTGCAGTTCCTGCATTGTTAAACTATTTATCAGACTCATCAAAGACCAGACATTTTCCCTAATCGAGCAAAGAAGAACTGATGATATTTCCACAGAAGAACAGCTCTCCTTATCTTTACATGTCTCTTATGGCCAGATATAGATCCCCTGGAGACAGGAGACATCCTATCGGTCTCCTATGACAGCCATTCAAGCCGTTGTCTTTCAAACAAAAGGCTTTTTTACAGATCTTCAGGCCAGGTGGATACAGAAAACCTCCCACAAGTATTATACATATATAGAGCCTCTTACAGGCTTCCTTCAGGCAATTTAGCATTTGGTGATATATTATAGAAAGAAAACGGCTGTTCAACAGATAGACGACCTTATTAATGCCTTCTAAAAACACCAAATAAATACAGGACTTTTTCAAATAAAATGTTTTAAATAGTTCCAAAGATTTCTTACAGACCTTTCAAAGTTGGAGACTTCATACAAGTCCTCAGAAATTAGTAAGAGAACCTCTTTTGGAAATCGATAACTTCTTACAGGCTTTCCATACACTGAAGACCTCAGCTGATCTTCAACAAATAGAAGACCTCTACAGTTACCTATACAGGTACACCTCTTTTAAACTGCTAAATCGCCTTGTATGGCCGCTCTCAATCATTTCTATTCAACAGATGGATGACCTCTTAAAGGTCCTAAAAATATAATTCTTCAAATATAAGACAACCTACAGGTCTTCTTCAAACGGAGCAACTATTGCGGGAGTTTCACAGACAGAAGGTCTTGTTAACCTTTTAATATAAAGCATACCTGTTATAGCGGAAGACGTATTATAGGTCTCCGGGAACTACAGGTCTTTTTTAAACAAAGAGACCCCTAACAGACTTTCGAAAGGCAAAGGACCGCTTGAAGGCCTTCCATAGAAGACAGACATATTTAAAGGCCTGTACACATAATAGACTCCTTATGGATGTTCCACAGGCATGAGGCCCCTACTTGAGGTAGAACAGTTTGAAAGCGTTTCTTGGGATAAAATACCTCTTACGGATCCTGATGTGCCTTGAAGACATATGACATTTCTTCTTCTTTATAACCGGCGAAGGGTTTTCTTACATGTCCTGTGTATTTTCTGAAAGTCGTACACGTCTTTTACAGACAGGACATGATTTTACATACCTAAGATGGCGAACAAGTCCCTCATGAATTTTTGCAATTCCTCCTCTCAGACTCTGTGTCAACGTTACACATTACTTGGTACGACATATATATCGGTCTTTTCATCCTATCTGAAATATTTTAGATTGGGAACCTGCATTTTCAAACGATATCTTATAATTCCTTTTTATACAGTCCAGCCGAGTATGGAGGGTATATTAAGTTTATCATTCCGTTTGTAACACCTCGTAATATACAGTTTAGACACCACAAAGTATATATATTCTTGATCAGCATAAAATTCTATGTCGATCTAGCGATGTCAGTTCGTCTGTCTGGCTATCTATCCGTCAATGGAACTCGCTCTAGCTTCCGAACCAAATGAAGTAGGTTGATAAAATTTTACTCAAATGTGTATTATACCTGCAGGACTCCTGGTACCTCCCCATATTCGGTATTTTGGTGATTTAAGCGACAATTTTCCTCGAAAATGTTTCAAATTTGGAATTTGAAGTTCGTAATGGATACTACGGCCTATGACAGAAAATTGTCCGTGCAGGTCCACGTCTCCGTACAGCCCCCATATAACGGCAACTCCCCATATTCGGTATTTTGGTGATTTAAGCGACATTTATTCAACCGAAGTGTTTCTAATTTGGAATTTGAAGTTCGTAATGGATACTACAGCCTATGACGGAAAATTGTCTGTGCAGGTTCACGTCTTCGTATGCAGCCATATAACGGCACCTCCCGATACTAGGTACTATTATGATTTTAGCGACATTATTCACCGGAATTGTTTCAAATTTGGAACTTAAAGTTCGTAATGGATACTACATCCTATGACAAAAAATAGCCTGTGCAGGTCCACGTCTTAGTATAGCCCCCATAAAACGGCACCTCTCGATATTCGGTATTTTGGTGATTTTAGCGACATTATTCACGGGAACACCAAATTTGGAATTTGAAGTTATACAGCCTAAGACAGAAAATTGTCTGTGCAGGTCCACATTTTGGTATAGCCCCCATATAATACTCCATCCCTATCTTGATGATGTTACCGATGCAGGTACATGTCGTCGTGTAGACCCTAATTTGAGGGCTACGTTTGGTATTTTTAAAATTTTAACAGAATTTTTAAAGGATTTTATTTTTTGAAAATTTGCTAAATTCTTTCCAAATGTTGGAGGGTATTCAAAGCTCGGCCCGGCCGAAAGCTTACAGCTTTTTTACTTGTTTTTTCGTCGTCGCATAGACTCTAATATAAGGGCTTCATTTCAACAGATTTTAACGGGTTTTATTTATTTATTTATTTATTTATTTTTTTTTTTTTTTTTGAAAATTGCCAATTTTGATCCAAATGGTGGAGGGTATTCAAAGTTCGGCCAAGCCTTTTTACTTGCCTTTTTTACTCCTGAGATGCATTATTTAGAAACCAAATATTTATATGAAAAATTTGCTGAACTCAAACATATGAGTTCATTCCCGAAGAATAAAAAACGCAATTTTCATGATTACAAGGCACCCACACGGTGAAACGCTATGTGGTACAGTGTTGCATGTTTTGCTGCAACATTTTGTTGCACGAAGCAATCATTGGAAGCAATAAACTAACCTAAACCCAGGGACAACAATGGCAAAGAAATTTAAAAAGAAATTACAAGGATGATTTATTAGTTTCTAAGGAAATAAACAAAAGGACTCGCACTGGCATCACCGGTTTCCCAAAAACAACGGAAGCCTTTCAAGCGGTGCAGCTCCACAATGTAAATGAACACAATGTTGCGTTATTTTAACTGAATGAGGGAGCACAAAAATTGGAACATAAAAAACGAAAACAACAGCAACTACAGGAGATGCATTCCCCCAACTAGGATGCGAAGCAGCAGGCTTTGAAATTGTTTTTGTCTTTTTTTGCCAATGGCTATGGCTGGGAGTCGTCCAAAGATGCTATGGAAAGAGAAAATTGGTTTTTACCTTTAAATTGGAAAATAAAATATCGAACTCTGCTGGCAAACGAGTAGCATCTGGCAGTAACAAACCGTAATGGCCACCAAATTCTTTATCCAGGCGATTAACTGCAAAAGAAAGAAAATATTCATAAAGAAACAGGGAGAGGTGAGAAGAGAAAACAAATTAAATAGGGAAATAGAAAAACCGCTAAAGAAAAATTTATATTAAAATATTGTTGGGAGTGGGGGTCAAACGACCCTCCAAAAAAAAAAGAGATTATTAAAACGTAATTATAATTTACACAAAAATGCCCGAGTCACTTGGCATTTATTAGAATCGTAAGGGGGAATAGAATAGAAAATCATAAATAGTATCTAAAATTCAGAATTTCCTAGGAAATGGCTAACATTTTAAGTTTCTGCTTCCTTGAAAACTTATCTATTCCCAGGGATACCTTGGCACATAAAATTTAAGAAAAAAAAAAAAAAACTCAAAGAAAATATATTTTACATTTAAATTTTATTGTTACTTTTTTCTTTGCTTGTTTAAAAAGTTTCCGTTGCCAAAAATAAGCTACATTCTTCCGCCAAACAAGTAAGATGTATAAATTTTTTTTCCATTTCCCCTAAGAAAATCGCAGGAGTTTCGTGAAACAACAAGAACAAAATGCTCAAAACAAAGTTATTGCATCTCAATCTTCACAAAGGTATTTCACATCGACGTTCCTTGTACATTTCAATCCATCATTTTATCTTTTGCAAACGAATACCGTCCACAATCTGACAACAAAGTTCAATTCTTGCACAAAAAATGATGATGTAGAGAAATGGCGGTTTCGTTTCAAGTATTTTACATGGCTATACGACAAAGAGAAGACTTCTAATAGAATAGATAAAATAATAGTCTTCTTACAGAAGACCAGAAGGTCTTCTCATAGAAGACCAGAAGGTCTTCTCATAGAAGACAAAAAGGTCTTCTCATATAAGACGTGAAGCTCTTCTCATAGAAGAGCAGAAGGTCTTCCCATAGAAGAGCAGAAGGTCTACCCATAGAAGAGCAGAAGGTCTTCTCATAGAAGAGCAGAAGGTCTACTCATATAAGAGCAGAAGGTCTTCTCATAGAAGAGCAGAAGGTCTTCTCATAGAGGAGCAGAAGGTCTTCTCATAGAAGACTTGGAGGTCTTCTCATAGAAGACCTGGAGGTCTTCTCATAGAAGACCTGGAGGTCTTCTCATAGAAGACCTAGAGGTCGTCTCATAGAAGACCTAGAGGTCTTCTCATAGAAGACCTAGAGGTCTTCTCATAGATGACCTAGAGGTTTTCTCATAGATGACCTAGAGGTCTTCTCATAGAAGGCCAGAAGGTCCTCTCATAGAAGACGTGAAGGTCCTCTCATAGAAGACGTGAAGGTCTTCGTATAGAAGACGCGAAGGTCTTCTCATAGAAGACGCGAAAGTCTTCTCATAGAAGACGATAAGGTCTCCTCATAGAAGACGCGAAGGTCTTCTCATAGAAGACGCGAAGGTCTTCTCATAGAAGACGCGAAGGTCTTCTCATAGATACGAGAAGGTCTTCTCAAAGAAGACGTGAAGGTCTTCTCATAGAAGACGTGAAGGTCTTCTCATAGAAGACCTGGAGGTCTTCTCATAGAAGACCTGGAGGTCTTCTCATAGAAGACCTAGATGTCTTCTCATAGAAGACCTAGATGTCTTCTCATAGATGACCTAGAGGTCTTCTCATCGAAGACGTGGAGGTCATCTCGTAGAAGACGTGAAGGTCTTCTAGTAGAAGACGTGGAAGTCTTCTCATAGATGACCTAGAGGTCTTCTCATAGATGACCTAGAGGTCTTCTCATAGAAGGCCAGAAGGTCTTCTCATAGAAGGCCAGAAGGTTTTCTCATAGAAGACCAGAAAGTCTACTCATAGACGGCCAGAAGGTCTTCTCATAGAAGGCCAGAAGGTCCTCTCATAGAAGACGTGAAGGTCTTCGTATAGAAGACCAGAAGGTCTTCTCATAGAAGACCAGAAGGTCTTCTCATAGAAGACGCGAAGGTCTTGTCATAGAAGACGCGAAGGTCTTCTCATAGAAGACGCGAAGGTCTTCTCATAGAAGACGCGAAAGTCTTCTCATAGAAGACGATAAGGTCTCCTCATAGAAGACGCGAAGGTCTTCTCATAGAAGACGCGAAGGTCTTCTCATAGAAGACGCGAAGGTCTTCTCATAGATACGAGAAGGTCTTCTCAAAGAAGACGTGAAGGTCTTCTCAAAGAAGACGTGAAGGTCTTCTCAAAGAAGACGTGAAGGTCTTCTCATAGAAGACGTGAAGGTCTTCTCATAGAAGGCCAGAAGGTCTTCTCATAGAAGACCTAGAGGTCTTCCCCTAGAAGACCTAGATGTCTTCTCAAAGAAGACCTAGATATCTTCTCATAGATGACCTAGAGGTCTTCTCATCGAAGACGTGGAGGTCATCTCGTAGAAGACGTGGAGGTCTTCTAGTAGAAGACGTGGAAGTCTTCTCATAGAAGACCTGGAGGTCTTCTCATAGATGACATAGAGGTCTTCTCATAGATGACATAGAGGTCTTCTCATAGATGACCTTAAGGTCTTCTCATAGATGACCTGGAGGTCTTCTCATAGAAGACCTAGAGGTCTTCTCATAGATGACCTAGAGGCTTCTCATAGAAGACCTGGAGGTCTTCTCATAGAAGGCCAGAAAGTCTTCTCATAGAAGGCCAGAAGGTCTTCTCATAGAAGGCCAGAAGGTCCTCTCATAGAAGGCCAGAAGGTCTTCTCATAGAAGACCTGGAGGTCTTTTCAGAGAAGACCTGGAGGTCTTTTCAGAGAAGACCTGGAGGTCTTTTCAGAGAAGACCCGGAGGTCTTTTCAGAGAAGACCCGGAGGTCTTTTCAGAGAAGACCCGGAGGTCTTTTCAGAGAAGACCCGGAGGTCTTTTCCGAGAAGACCTTGAGGTTTCTCATAGAAGACCTGGAGATCTTCTCAAAAAAGCTAGAAGATGCTCTTCTCATATAAGTCCAGAGGATGGTCTTCTCATAGAAGGCTAGAAGAAGGACTTCTCATAGAAGACCAGGAGAACGCCAGAACGCCTTCTCCTACAGACTTCCCATGGATAACAGAAAGAAGACTAAGAGCCATGAATGTCTTCCGGTAGGAGATCGTTAAGTTTACCCATGCTTCTTTGAAGTATCGCATTTCTCCTCTTCAAAAGTTTGCATGTTCAACCACGTTTCTTCTGCTACTCCTTCTCAAAGTACAAAGTCATCGTTTGCTTTTGTAGGAAAAGCAACAACAACAAAGTGATGCCAACACCTTTTGATACCGTTATCGATTTCGTACCGACCGTTGCCCCCAGCCTCCTTGCGAGTGCAACAAAATGGTTCAAATGCTCAAAATAAAAGTTTCCTTCAATTCATGTTTAGTTATGTTCGCCTTTCAGTATTATCCGGAGATTTTCCATTTTCTACAACAATAACAACGACAACAAAAAATGATAAACATCAACCGTTCAACTGTAAGAGCGCACAAAGGCTGGAAGGTGTGGAGGGGGGACAGGATGCTTGAAATACAAAACTAAACTATACTGTAATGAAATTTGCTGAAAGAAATGTCGAAGGAGCACAAGATGAAAATTGGAGGTACAATTCTTGCATATCATGGACGTTTCAGCCAGTCGAATGATTGATTTGAATTTCAATATCCGCAAAAAAGTCCATGGGGCGAAGACTTTATTTATGCTAATGTTTATTCCTAAGAGGAAATAAAATGTTTGAATAAAGAATTTGGATTTATTAAGGCATTCGAGAAAAAATCTTGAGGCATGGAACAAATCTTGAGGCAGTCATAACATAGATAAGCTTTTAAAGGAGTATTTCTGTAGAGAACTCTTAAGGGCGTCTTTTTTATAAACGAGATCATGCCATGGGGTAGTCTTTTCCCATATACCTCATATCATGCGGGGGCCATTTCTATATATGGGTGCTCATGCTATGAGAACCAGTCTATTTCAATAGACCAGAGCTCATGCCATGAGGGACTCCATATCCATAGACGAGAGCGCAAGCCATGAGCGAGAGTCTATTTCCATAGACGAGAGAGATCATGCCATGAGCGAGACTCTATTCCCATAGACGAGAGAGATCATGCCATGAGCGATCATGCCATGAGAGCGAGTCTATTTCCATAGACGTGAACTCATGCCATGAACGAGACTCTATTTCCATAGACGAGAACTCATGCCATGAACGAGAGTCTATTTCCATAGACGAGAACTCATGCCATGAACGAGAGTCTATTTCCATAGACGAGAACTCATGCCATGAACGAGAGTCTATTTCCATAGACGAGAACTCATGCCATGAACGAGAGTCTATTTCCATAGACGAGAGAGCTCATGACATGAGAGCGAGAGTCTATTGCCATAGACGAAAGCTCATGCCACGAGCATGAAAAGACTTCCAGGTCTTCTATGAGAAGACCTCCAGGTCTTCTATGAAAAAAAAACCTCAAGGTCTTCTATAAAAAAAACCTCAAGGTCTTCTATGAGAAGACCTCCAGGTCTTCTATGAGAAGACCTCCAGGTCTTCTATGAAAAGACCTCCAGGTCTTCTATGAAAAAAACCTTTAGGTCTTCTATGAGAAGACCTCCAGGTCTTCTATGAAAAAAACCTCAAGGTCTTCTATGAGAAGACCTCCAGGTCTTCTATGAGACGAGACGACCTTTAGGTGGGAGGATATCTAAGGAAAATTGTGTCTTTCTATGGGCTATTCCATCTGGAAGGACTACTACTATTCTATAATATGTTAGAAATTAGTTATTGATAATATTTCCCTTTTGTTATTATTTCTCTGATCAGGTGGTGCCCTCCACGCCTCCCATATCGTTCACTCCATATCGTTATAATTACATATCAAGTGTGGAATATTTCCTGAAATATTTTGCAAACAATATCCTTTATGTGTATGTCTGTTTGCATTTAGCCCACAGGACTCCTAATGCCAGACATTTCAAGCGAATGCAACACACCAACAATGCCATTGAATGCGAGTTCTTATTTAGACAAGTTATTGTGAATATTTGCTAACTTTTAGGCCAAATCAACATCAAAGTAGCCATATCTATGCAAAGAGCTTAAAAGCTATACCACCTACAAAGATCTGTCGAATGGCATATTGGCTGTAACTGGCATTGGTCAAACAATGTGCCTGGGATGAAACAAAAAATGTTGAAAAATTCTTTGGATATTCCAGCAAAATGTTTACACAGTCGCACATAGAAAGGGTTAAAGAGAGGGAGAGAGAGGTGGGATATTACATTTACAGTAGATCACAAAATATATCAACAAAAGATATATTTTCACTTTACCCTAGCTATGAGCAGCCTCGAATGAAAATATATAAACAAAGCACACGTATTCTCTCTCAATTTTCCTTTCCTATTGATTTGGAAGGAAGGGAGAGTCTCATACCATTACTAATGCATATATTGTGAGCATGGCTTCTTTACCCTCACGAAGTCCTTTTTCAGTTGGCCCATTGTGAAATCCTTTCAAAAATTTCACTTCAAATCATATTTTTCTACAGATCTCAACCCAGTCTTAAGAGACGTTATTTGGTCTCCTAGAAGTGATTTTTCCAAGCGATTGTAGCTCCAAAGCCCACTTGAAGCTCTCTTCACTTGGTTTTCACCAATCCCCATTTTCTTTTCTAAAATCATTGGCTTGAGTTGTTCAAGATTTCAAATTATCCCGAGCAGCATCTTAATATCCCCCTCTTAAGCTCTACATTGTGTAGCTTTACAGCTTTCTGTCCCTACTGTTGTCTAGCTTAATTTCTCACTTTATACACACACAAACACACACACTTGATCATAGATACATACCTGGTCGATGAGGCCTAATGTGCTCATTTATCCAGTCTCTGTCATTGGGATTTGGCACTGCAACAATATCCGCTTCAAATACAAACTCATTTCCCAGAAGACAACGTATGATACCAATATAAGCCACATAATGGTCCATTGTCAAGATTCCAACAGCTGGTTTAAGAGTATCCGCACATCGACACAGAGACACAAACACGCACGATGGTATACCAATGGGATGAAGTAAGCAGCCGGAAACATACAAATGAAATTGAAAAAAAGGAACAGAACAGAAAAAGAATTGCATTTAGACAATGAAACAAACTGGCCAAAACCCAAACTCCAAAGCTCTTTTCACCTCCCTTTCCCAACCCTCTCACAAAAAAAAAAAAAAAAAAAAAAAAAACAGGATTAAACAAGGAAACCTAGCAAATGAATTAGCAAATACAAAACTTCACATAACAAAAACAATGAAGTGAAAACTATTTCAGCGATAGGGCTGACTGGCTGGCTGTATAGCTATCGGCAGGCAGTGTTTAGACAAATATGCAGACGTCTGGGGAAAGGGATTCGGGAGCGAGACACATTTCCGAAACAATAATAACTGCATCCAAATGATATAAACACATTCCTTTGGCGGAGGTTTTGTTGCCAGCCAAAAACAAGAAATTCCACAAAAAATCATTAAAGTTTTCGAAATGGAATTTCCGAGGCGTTCTCAGCCTACCGACTGGCAGGCAGGCCCATTTACATTATTTTGCCAATAAATAAAAGGTTTATATTGGGGTGCATCGCAAACAGGGTGCATCGCAGACAGGGCTCCTTGACGGGGAAGCCTAAAAGTAATGTGAAGAGAGGACATTTTTTATACGACCTCATGAGGGTATTTTTATTTGGGGGATGCTATTTACTGGTAAACTCGTGAAATAGTATTTTAATTCACACACACCTGAGAGAACCTTTCCCAGGGACTACCTCATAATAAAGTTTTTTTTCCTAAGAGCACCTCAAACGGAAAGCTCATCAGATTGAGTCTTTTCTAGATAGGAGTTCTTCTTTTTTGGTAGAAGAGCTCTTGCCGGGGAGCGAGTCTTTTTTTTCTATATAAGAGGTCATAGCGTGGTGAGGTATTTCCTAATGATGGGACTAAGACATGAGCTAGTATTTCCTTTAGAGGAGTCTGATGACATGTTTGGTCTATTGAATTTGAGGTGATGAGGTGTATTGAGGTGATTGCAAGAGTCGAGCTCTAGGCCACGAGGGAGTCTTTTATTTAGACGAGCTTATGGCATAAGGAAAAGCCTATAAAAGGAAGGAAGATAAGCAAATCCATTATTAGAGAGAGAGAGAGAGTCTAACTATCATGGGGACTGAGGGATTCTGTTTTACACGAGTATATTTTAGACGTGCTCTGACGACCTTCGAAGAGAGTATTTTTCTAGAGCGTGTACCCTTATAAACATGATCGCGAGGAAATCTTTTCATAAACGAGCTCTTGAACTAGACTTCCTTTGACGAGCTCGTGAGAGGAAGAGTGTTATCATCGGGACTTTAAGGGAATCATTTTTACGAGCTTTGAACAGAGTATATACGCGGGAATCTGTTCATACACGAGCTCTTGAAAGAAACTTCTTTTGACGAGCACGTGCAAGAGAGTCGTATAATCATCGAGACTCTGAGGGAGTCTTTTTACGCTAGTATTTTTTTAGAAAAGCTCCAGCTCTTGCTCCCTAGCTCCCCTTATAAACAACATCGTGAGGAAATCTTTTCATAAACGAGCTCTTGAAAGAGTCTTCTTTTGACGAGCTCATCTTATCATCGGAATTTGAAGGGAATCATTTTTACGCGCGCATATTTTAGACGAGCTCCGACGGAGTTGTTTAAGACGATCTTCGAACAGAGTATTTTTCTAGAATGAGTCCCGTTATAAACAACATCATGAGGGAATCTGTTCATGCACGAGGTCTTGAAAGAGACTTCTTTTGATGAGCACGTGAAAAAGAGTCTTACAATCATCGAGACTCTGAGGGAGTCTTTTTACGCGAGTATCTTTTAGAAGAGCTCTTGAGAGACTCTTTTTTAGATGAGCTTCAAAGAGGGCATTTTTCTAGAGTGAGTCGTGAGGGAATCTTTTCATACTGAAGCTCGTGAATGCGTTCTTCTTAGCCGAGCTTTCGAAGGAGTATTTTTTTAGAGGAACCCTTAAGAATTATTTTATAGACGAACTCATGCAGGAGTCTTAATAGATGGGCTGGTAAGATTGTCGTTTCACGGACAAACGCCTGAGGGAGTTTTTTCAAAGACGAGCCTTTGAGGGAGTTTTTTAGAGACGAGCTCTTCAGCGTACTTTTCTCTCGACAAACTCCTGTTGGAGCCTTCTTTAGACAAACTTGAGGGAGTCTTTTCAAAGCCGAGTTTTTGAGGAAGTCCTCATAGACAAGCTCTTAAGGAAGCATTTTTTTATAGACAAGCTCTTAAGGGAGTATTGTCTATATATGATCTCTTGAGGGAGTCTTTTCCATAGACGAGCTTTAAGGGAGACTTTTTCATTGACCAAACCTTGGGTAGTATTTTCATAGACAAGTACTTGAATGAGTGTTTTCCATAGACAAGCTCTTGGGAGGATATTTTAAGATACGAGCTCATGGGAGTCTTTTCAAATAGACGAGTTCATGACAGAGTCTTTCCTATAGATGTGCTCTTGACAGAGCAATTTTTGTGTAGGCAAACTCTTAATGGAATCTATAAATGAGATCTTTTCATTACGCCAGCTCTTGAGGGAGTCTTTTTATAGACGAGCTCCAGAGAGATTATTTTCATAGACGAGCTTTTGAGAGGATCTTTTAATATACGAGCTATTGAGAGAGTCAAAAAACGAGTATTTCCTACAGATGTGCTCTTGAGTGCGCCCCTTCTGTAGATGAGCTCTGGTGGCAGTCTTTTCTTTACGCGAGCTCTTGAAATTGTGTTTTTATAGAAGCACTCTTTAGAAAGAATATCTCATAAATGAGCTATTGAGAGTCCGTCCTATAGACTCTTAAACTCTTAAGAGAGTCTTTTTCAGAGAGTAATTCTTTAGAGAGATCCTTCTTTTAGGTCCTTTCAGAGTTTTTTTTATGGATTTTTCTTATAGGTGTACTCTTAAGGGAATTTGTTTTTATAGACTAGCTAGAGGGACCCTTTTTGTAGAAGGGCTTTTAGAGGATTTGCTTTGCCATAGGCGAGACAAAGAAAGTCTTCCATGGTTTCATATACCAGTATCAGGTCCGAATTTTTGACTAGCTCAAAAGTGATTTTTTAGTGACTCAAAAACTCATTTAGGAGATCCTATAACTGATCTTCAAGGTTAGCCTTAATGGGGGAGACGTGATAACCACTGATTTATTACGTTTTATTAATGTATCGCAAGCATTATCTGGTTTTCATTACACCCTAAGTAAACATCCTAAGCCATTGTTGCTGCAATCAGCAAAATTCCCGCAGCCAAAAACAGAATCCTGGAATGAATGACGTGGAACATCTTCCTTCCCCTGAGGGATGTGGAGTGGTGAACGAAAGTGTGTGTGTGTGTTTTCTAAAACTCATACTTACCGTTTGCACTTTGAGGCTGTTGTAGTAGCTGTTGGCCGGTTGCAGTTAAAGTCATATTTGTTGGCTCCTGCTGCTTCAATTTCGAATGTTCCTGTTGTTGTTTTGGGTAATAATGTTGCTCTTGCTGCCGATGCTGTTGTTGTGTGTTTGGTCCAGGACATTTTTGGCTATATTGGGTATCTTGATGTTGTGGTTGTTGCTTCAATTCATTCATTTGTTGCAATTCCTGCAGAGATAGTTGGTCTGCTTGCTGTTCGTTTTGCTGTTTTTGTTGAATTTTTGGCAAACGTAAAACTTTTTTAAATTGCGGTAATGCAAGCACCAAATTTGCATTACCCTCAGCACGATAGATCAACTCAATTTGGCTCAGATCCATGCGAGTTTTTTCGGGCAACTGAATAGATGGGTCCAGCTTCTGTTTCTGTTGGGGCATATTCTCTGCTTCTTCTTTGCCTTCCATATTCATATTGGAATTGTGGCCATGTTGCGGGAGCTGCTGTTGTTGTTGTTGTTTTTGTTGTTTATCCAAAACACTCAACAGTTCCAGCAATTCCTTGGGTGCCTCATTTGATTGCAGGCATGATGAAGCGCATGATGATGTTTCCGAAGCCATTATATCTTTTCAATCTTCCAAACTTACAATTCTCTCGGTCGGATGGCTTGGTTGGTGGGTTGTTTGGTTACGCTGTCACTGTTATTGCTGGTTTTCTACTTTGGCTGTTAAAAGGGACAACCTAGAAATGTAGGAAAAATATAATTTAGTATTTTTTGGAATCTCCTGGTCGTTACAGTCGCTCTACAACAATTACAATTGATTATGTTTATTAGCGGTTCTATATAATTTGATATGTATTAATGCAGATCCTAGACTCGGATGATGCTGATAGTCATATGCATTGACTTACAACGCTTAAATAGCTCAAAGTAACCTGTCGCCCCTTACTTAGAACCTGAAGAAGACATCTGAGGAGATGCCAGATTAATAATACATCCGGCATTAAAGAGAGGACTCAATAAAAAGCTGCAGAAGTTATTATCAGTGCTGTATTATAGACAAACTCATGAGTTAGTCCACATAAATATGACATCTAGATGGCGCCTTAGTAAGTACTTTATAGGTTAAGGAAGCTGTTTGGTCAACAAGTTTTGATAGACAACTTTAAGAGAAGTTGTTATATATGACCACAAGAGGGAGACTTCGTAGCATGGGTATTACTATCAGTGACGTAAAGCAATCTTGCTCACCATATATGCATTAGTAGTAGTAATAGACTTTCTCGCCCTGCTTTATTCATAGATTTGGGTTCAAGGCTGCTCATAGCTGACGTAAAGAGTGAATCTTTATCATAGGTATCTTTTTTGTAGATAAGCTCGAGAAGGAGTTTACTTTTATTGACGTCAACATGCTGATGTCGCTCCTGTAACAATTTTTAGGGTAAAGGACATTTTTGATGGAAAAACTTTAATAGACCACTATAAAAGTCAGTTCTTATTGATTACCTATAGAAAGAGACTTTATGGCATAAGTAATATTTTCGATGACAAAAAGACTGAATCTTTATAGACGATCTAAAGCGGAAGGAGTGATAATCGGAGAACGCTCTATTATAGACTAGCTTGGGAGGAAGTCTATTGATAGGCGAAAACATTTAGATGGAGATTCAGTAACAATCTTGAGAGTAAATCAACGTTTTTAGGCGAAAAAGTTAAAGAGCCAGTTGTTACTGATGACATCCAGATGGAGACGTTGTAGAACATGTAAGGTTTTCGATGACATTAAGAGGAAACCTTATGAATAGGAAAAATTAATGAATATTATGAATTTTTAGACAACTCAGATTTTATAAACTGGACTCTCTGGAACGCATTTTTATTAGAAATACAATTCTCAAATGTGCCACCTACTAAGATATATGTGATATATATCCTCTAAAGTTTTTATAGACTATCATAAGGTTAAGTCTTCCTGAGAAGAAGGCCCTTATACGAGAACAGAAGTCGAGTTGGAAAAAAAAGGCTCTAGAAGGCAATCTGTATTAAGGACCCTTAGGGGTCATCTTCATAGGCCCCCTCAGAAGGGACCTTCAAAAAAGAATTCATGTGAAAGACCAAAAATACAGTTTTATAGAGAACGGCCTCTTAAAGAGGGATCCCTTAAAAATGGCTCTCTGGTCGGGAGATTTTAGAAAAGATTTTAAAAATAACTTCCGGAATGAGTTTTCAGAGACGACTTCATGTGTTAGGCCGTAAAAACTGTTTTAAAGAGGACCTAGCGACGAATTATTGACGTCCTAACGAGGCTCCCTCCTCTATATATGGCTTTCAGAATCAGGGAATTTTTATAAATGACATCCAGAAAGAGTTTTGAATTATCACATCCAGAGTATTTTTTATAGTTGACATATAGGTGATAAATCAACTCAAGGGGGATAAAGGCAGCGTAGGAGACCTCATAGACAACCCTACAGATGACCTAAGTTTGAAGGCCACTAAACGGTTCTCTAAAGGGACATCATCTTCGTCTTAAAGAGCGATTCTAAAGCAACAGTTCCTAGACGATCATCTTAGATGACATCTAGATGGAGTTAAAGATGACATTTAGATGGAGTTTTTTGGTCATCCAAAGGGGTAGTCTCCCTGCATTTTTTATATATGACATCCAGAGTATTTTTATAGATGTCATAGGTATTGTAAACGAGGCTCCCCCTCTATATATGGCTTTCAGAGGGAATTTTTATAAATGACATCCAAATGGAGTTTTAAATTATCACATCCAGAGTATTTTTTACAGATGATATACAAAGGAATTCTGACATAAGTTTTAAAATTGCGATAAATCAACTCACGACATTACGCACAGGAGGGGGATTAAGGCAGCGCAGGAGACCTCATAGACAACCCTACAGATGATCTAAGTTTGAAGGCCGCTAAACGGATCTCTAAAGGAACTTCATCTTCGTCTTAAGACAATCTTCTTAGGTGACATCTAGATGGAGTTAGAAATGACATGGAGTTTTTGGTCAACCAGAGGGAGTGTTTATAGAAGACCACCAAATGAAGTTTTTATATATCACATCCAGAGTATTTTTATAGATGTCATAGGTATTGTAAAAGTGATCCTTTATAGACCACATCTAGAGAGAGATTTATCGTGGTCCTTCAGATGGAGGGTTAGTAGAAGCTTGTCAGAGCGAAACTTCGCAAATGACCTTTAGATGGAGTTGTTGTATATTTCCTCCAGAGCATTAATGGGTACAATAAAGGCGTATTCGCACACCAATTTGAGAATAACCATTAACGAGCTCTAGTAGGTAGCTTGCAAACCTTATAAACCACTTCAAAAGGGAACCTTCACAGACAACCTTAGGTGGAATGATGTCCAAACCACCTAAGGTAGTCTGTGAAGGTGTCTGGAGCAAGTCTTGGTGTATACCCACAAAAGGGAGCTTTTATAGAAAACATATATGGGAAGGATATTAGGGTCCACCAAAGAAAGTCTTCTACGAACACTTTAAAGGAAATTTTTTCGAAACGATCTCCAGTTTTATTATTAGGAGTACTATTCATAGATGACATGCGGAGGGATTGTAAAATATGTCTGAAATTCATCATAAACGATTTTAAGAGAAAGTGTTATATAAAAGAAAGAGAAATAGATGAAGACTGTGCAGGAACGTATTCTTTGAAGACCGCCAAACAAAGATTTACGGCGGAATATTTGACGAAGACTTTCATAACAACTTTAAAAGGATTATTTATAGAGGACATACAGGGTTATTTATAGAGGACATACAGAGGAATTCTCATATATGTTTAAGAATGGTTATAGTCGCACTTAAGTAAGGGTATATTATGCACCGGTGAGAGGGGAAAAAAGGTTACGAAGAAGACCTCATGGGCCACAGGAAGTTTTACGGACGAAGAATGTCGAAGAGCCAGTCTACGTGAATGACAAGAAACTCAAGCCTTCAAAGACGGTATAGGGAGTATTTGTGGTCCTCCAAAGAGAGGGTTTTTTTTTTGAAAACTTCCAGGAAAAGTTCTTAAAAACGACATCCAGATGTTACCTTTGTATTACCCATAGGACTTATCTTTATGATGTGATATGTAGAGGGGTTTTCACACAGGGGAGGTTTTCACAAGTTTGAAAATTATAATAAACGACTTCAAGCGGAGGACGGAAGAGGAAAGAATGCCAGACACAGTTCAATTCAAGAGCAAGACTTCGTAACATACAAGAATTTCAAGTTTTCATAGAAGATATCGATTGCGAGTAACTTTGGTCCGCCAAAGAGAGTCTGCTTAGAAGACTTCCAAGTGGAGAGTTTATAAACGACATCCAGATGCTGCTTTTATACTTCCTACAGGAGTTGTGCTTATGATGATATACAGATAGATTTCGACACTAGTTTACAACTCTGTCATAAACGATCTGAAGGGGAAACGGAAGGGGAAAGAAGATCAAGACTGTCTGAAATTCAATAAAAGTTAGCCTTAAAGGCGACATCGATGGGAAGAATTATGTCTTGATAGACACCCAATTTGAAGAACAACGTTGTGTTTGTGATGACATGCAGTACGGATTTTACACAAGTTTAAAAATCGTTATAAACGACCTCAACAAAGTGACTGAAGTGGATAGAATGCCAAGACTTCATGACATTATCCCAATTGATGTGGTCTATGAAAACATCGATGGGGAGCAATTTTGGTCCTCTAGAGAGAGTTCCAAGAAAGTGTTTATAAGATGAGGTTTTTTTATTACCTACAGGAGTTGTGATTATGGTGATAAACAAAAGGATTTTGTAACAAATTTCAAAATTATAATAATTGATCTTAAAAGAATGAATGAGAGGGTCCTAATACATTAGAGGGAGGAGAGGGAGATCTAAAGAGGAAACCCTTACAGGGAATCTTACTTGGCAGTTTTTACAGCTAATATTCGCATTTGTATGCCTATAAATCAATATTTAGAGGGAGCATGTAAAGCCTCGAGCTCAAGGAGAGTCTTTCTGACCATTAGCCCCTAACTCCATAAAAAAGTACTTAAAAAATATCTAAGAAAGGAGTTTTTCTGGACCACCCGCTGAGGAAACAGTTATGACCGACTGCTTCTTGCAGTTCTCCAAAAGGCTTTCAAAGAGAACCTGAAAGCAGGTTTTCAGAAAGTAGAAATTATTTTTCAATATTGTGTGAATTAGTAGTCCCTATACGTATATTCGAAGTTGTTTTATTTTATCTTCCAGACTTGACTTGACAATTGTTCTCCCGCCTAGACAAATGGCAGGAACCTCATCCTCCCTCTCCATCATCCATCATTTGTATTGCACAATCTCCACTTCAGGTCATTTTTCATTTTGTTATCATTAGCTAAGTTACAAAATATTCAAAAAACATTATTCTATTCATATCGTTCTTGTATGTCTTACTTCCAGTGTACATTATGTTTTTCTGCTGATGTTGTTGCGTTTTTGCAAACTATAGTTTTGATTTTATGCAAAAGTTATTCTAAGCTTTCAGTATTTTGTTGTTTGAGATTTTCATTCAAATCCTTGATGTTTTTGTTACTAAAATGCTTATCTGGTTGATGGGAGGGGATTACATTGCTCTCATGCTGGAAAATACACGAAAAGCTAGCCAGCTATATTGAAAAACTGTAAAAGAGAGGGAGGGAGTGAGTAAAGATAAAGAGTGTGAGGAGGTAGACACCATTTTTCAAAACCCAAAGTAATTGTTTGAGTGGGAGATTAAGTGATGGCCGAGCAGAAGATACGGATAATGTCCCTAACATATCGAATGACAATTCAAGGGTAATTTCCTCTCGAAACTTTAAGCGAGTATGAGGCCAATAAATTTTATCAATTTCACGCCATAGATTATTGTGCGCTCACACAATAAAAGTGT